AACATAAATGTGAAAATACTGTGACTCATTATCTAACTACTTGATTATGTTGTTCTGTAAACAGGGCCGATTCTAGAGTATGTGGGGGCCCTAGGCAAAAATCACTGGGGGCCCCTCGAACCAGCTTTTCATCACCCCCCCCCCTGGGGCGGAGAAACAATACTTAACTTATGAAGCAGCATTTAACAGCGCGCTATGCATGGGGCACCCTAGAGGGGGTTTCCAGACATGTCATTGCAGTAAATGAAAGGGGGTTTCAGGTTGTCGTTGCTGTGGACCTTCTCAATCAACCTTCTTTGGGGGCCCCCTTCTGGTCCGGGGCCCCAAGCAGTTGCCTGGGGCCCCCATATCTACTTACACTTAGATATTCATAGTTGAAATCTTGTTTATGAACACAAACACAGCTGGGATCCCCCCCCCCCCTCTTGTTTTTATTTTACAAACTGTACATCCTGAAACAAAGCCTGAATAACTGAGCAGAATTTGTAGATAAATAATAACAGTAAAATGTCAGGGAAGCGTCTGGATCGATACCAGGGTCCCGTTGATGTTCAGGTGGATCCAGTTAGTGATCCGGCACAGATTCATCCCGCCTGTTTGGCCACAGTCTGACATCTCCGTCGATTCTTCGCTTTTTGCCAACAATTACAGATTACTTCTTTTCCGCTCAGGCCTCTCCGCCATTGATCCGCTCCTTTCTGCCAATATCTCTCGGTGCTGGAGGTCCAGTAAAACTGACCTGAGTGCTGTCATCACTCCAAACTGAGTCTGAGCTCCCACAGTTACCCAGCAAATGACTGTCAGAGATTCACTGTCTCTGGATCAGTGTGACAGTACATTCAACCTAAAACTAAGTAGACAATTAGGTTTCAGAACACCCCACTGGAGGTTTCACATGTTTCAATATCAAAAAAAATCAATAAACTGAATGTTAGCATGAATCCAGTAAATGTATGCATAGTGATAGTATAAATATACATATATAAACAGGTTATGAAAGAATAACATGTACTTTTGTAAGTGTTTTTGTTTACCTTGGGTATTTTTTTTTCTGAAATTTTAAAAATCTTACTGAAAATATCTACTTAACTTATTTATCTCAAGTAAAGCATCTGTCACAGTACAAACTAAGTAACATATGTGATAAACTTTGTGAGAATAAAATTGATATGATATCTAATCCGACACTTAAAGGTGGGGTAGGTAATTCATTTCAGAAACACTTGTTGTTATATTCCATGGAATGCTCTTAACATCCCGATAGCAATGAATATCTGAAGTGCTTTGACAATAAATACATAAACAAATGTCATCTGTGGAAGCCGCGGTACTGTAAAAAGCACGACCAATCATCTGAGCCGGCCCGGCTAAAATAACTGGATGGCCTACCTGCCTGTCAGCCTTCCATCTGTGCACAAACTTATCTCGTGCCCTCATTGGTCATGTGCGCGTTCGTGTGTGTTGGAGGAGGGGCTCTGTAAGGAAGTCTGAAGGAAGGGGCAGATTTCTTTCGGCTGCGTACTTTCAAATTCTAGCGCACTCGAGCTGGTTCCTGTCCTTTAAGTAGAGAAGGTAATGCTTATTAAAAAATAAACTACTTTTATTCTTTTAAACTCTTGCAAAAAAGTTATATTTATATAGGCAGCTATTTGGTTTCTTCTGATGAAAAACAGCAAAGCCTTCAACAATTATAACATGTCTTCTCAGGCAGGTAGAGCCACATTAATGAGGTTCATGTTCCAGGAGTACACATGTAAGTATGTGACGTAAAGTGAAGTTAAACACCATTTAAATCAGAAAAGAATAATCACTATAAATGTATTTAAATGTAATGCATAATGTTTATAAACCCATTGAGAGTTTGAATATATACTAAGAAGTAGACAATCATCTCCCACAGCCTGCTTTAAATACCAGGAGACTCTTTATGAAACCACTCTGCACTTCTTTCAAATGAGCTTTTAAAGTAATAAGAAAGTAAATTAGCTCTCAGATATTCAGATATGAGCATTAACTCTGCAGAAAGGGTCGCGGCCTTTCTTCTGAAGGACTCAGACATAATCCAGAGCAGCAGGAACATCAGCGAGAGCTTCATCACCTGCAGGTCTGATTTACTGTACAGACTGCACGCTTTGCATATTGGAATAAGAAGGGTTTAATACCACAGAGAGAGACGGACGTTACTCAAGAAAAGAGGCAAAATGAATAACTTAACCACCAGGATATTAACTAAAAGTAAAAAAATTAACTAATGTCATAGCTGTTAGATTTAAGTTTTTCATGCTCTCCCTTTTTAGTAAATAACGTGAATTTCCAGATAATTTTAAAATAAAAATAATGTTTTGTGGTTAAAGGTGGGTTATGTAATTTATTTCAGAAACATTTTTTGTTATATTCCATGGAATGCTCTTAACATCCCGATAGCAATGAATATATTAAATGCTTTGACAATAAATCCATAAAAAAATATCATCTATGGAAGCCGTAGTACTGTAAAAAGCACGACCAATCATCTGAGCCGGCCCGGCTAAAATAACTGGATGGCCTACCTGCCTGTCAGCCTTCCATCTGTGCACAAACTTATCTCGTGCCCTCATTGGTCATGTGCGCGTTCGTGTGTGTTGGAGGAGGGGCTCTATAATCACATCACTCCTGTTCTGAAGTCCTTACACTGGCTTCCTGTGTGTCAAAGAATAGATTTCAAAATACTGCTGCTGGTTTATAAAGCACTAAATGGTTTGGGCCCAAAATACATGTCTGACCTACTGCTAAATTATGAACCATCCAGAACTCTCAGGTCTTCAGGGACTGGTCAGCTTTCTGTCCCCAGAGTCAGAACTAAACATGGAGAAGTTCAGTTATTTTGCTCCAAATATCTGGAACAAACTCCCAGAAACCTGCAGGTCCGCTGCAACTCTTACTACTTTTAAATCCAGACTAAAGACTTTTCTTTTTGCCGCTGCTTTTAATTGAACTATTCACATCTTAAACTGCACTGTAAATTTTATCCATGTATTTTTTCTTTTAATGTTTATTTTATTATCTTTTCTTTTTAATGACTGTTTTTAAATGCCATTTTCTTAATGTCTTCCATTTTTGTAAAGCACTTTGAATTGCCTTGTGTTGAAAGGTGCTATATAAATAAACTTGCCTTGCCTTGCCTTGCCTTGCCTATAAGGAAGTGGCAGATTTTTTCAGGTTGAGGTAGAAAAAATCCTAGATTTTAATCTAAATACATATTTTAAAAGCCTCCTCGATCAGCAAGAAATGGCATTGTCACAAAGCTGAAAACTGTTTTTCTGAGAAATGCATAAAAAAGGGAATTGTTTGAGATACGCGGTTCTCACAGGACAAAGCTACACACAAAAATATCCAAAGAATATGTGAAAAACATCTGAAAGAATTACCCAGAAATATAATTAAAATGGACCGAAAATATGTTGAAGATGTAATTTAATATTGTGAAATATGTCAACAACAATATGTGAAACATGTACGAAAAACATATGATGATCTTAAAGGATATGATGCAATAAGTGCATTCGACCAAGAAGATACAAACTTGAAGAAAACAGAATCATATAAGTACATCAGGTTTCATAGAGCCACAACATTTCAAGTGCTACTCAACTAGTTTTAGATAAGCCTGTGCTTTGTTAGTATATAAGTGCTTTGTTAGTATATAAGTGCTTTGATAGAAATTGTATTGCTCGAAGTGGAGTCCAAAGAGATGAGTTTTCAGTCTGCACCGGAAGATGTGTAAGCTTTCTGCTGTCCTGATGTCTTGTAAAAATGTCCGAAAAAAGATGTGAAGCATGTACGAAAACATATGGTGATCTTCTAGAAGATGATGCATTGCTGCGGATTAAACTATTCAACAGTTTATAAAGGAGGTAAGAACATCTACAGCAGTATTTTTGCATTGGGGTATTAGTACTTTAACTGCAGATAAGGATCAAAATACTTCCATTATCACTGAGAACAATGTTGTGTATCTACCGTACATTAAAGCTTATATCTTATTTAATCTCTGCACTTTACTGGAACATCGAAAAGCCAATTCGCAGTGTCTTTTCTCGTCTCCACATTAGATATTATGAGCGGGAATCAACTCGTCCCTGTAATTGGAATCAGCAGCCTGTAATGAAACATAAAACTATCATAACATGAATCCTCACAGGTGAAGTGGTTTAATGTTTGGTACAGTAACATGTGGATCAGCAGCTGTAAAGGCTCTGAGCAGAATCACACAGACCATCCTGACCTTCTGCCCACTATCTAATCTCCTCCTCCTCTTCCTCCTCCTCCTCCTCCTCTTCCTCTCACTACCTGTGATTTATGGCTCTGTGCTATGAAAGGTGAAGGCAACAACCGGTGCAGCAGCAGAGAGACAGTCATATCTGGGACAGCAATTACCATTTCTCTCAGCTGGTTTTTTCAATCTCACCCTGCTGCTGTTAAACTACTGAATTTCCCCACGGGGATTAATAAAGTTCCATCTTAATATATTATCTTATCTTATCTTATAAGCAAGTGGTTAAGGACGAGGGGGTTTTATGGTTTAATGGTGGGGATGTTTAGATGATGCCTAAGGGAATTTAAGGGTGGGACCAGTTGGCTTTTCTCTCTACTATAGAGTGTGACTGTGAGCTGTGTTCTGGGTGCAGAACTTCTCTATCCTCTGAGGAAGAAGTTGTGCTCACTTGACTTTCTTTATGACTTTATTAAATATAACAAAAGACAAACTGTCCATGAATCATTTATCAGTTTCTCTTAAGAATTTCCTCCACATTTTACTTTTATGTATCCACCGTGACACCAAGTCAAATTCCTCGTACGTGTCAACCTACCTGGTAATAAACCTGATTCTGATTCTGACGTGTCTCCCTCTCTGTCTTACGAATCTCCAAAGATGAGCTGGAGGACAAAGACAGGGATTTTCTTGAGTTTGCTACCTAGAAAAGCTGCAGACGATTGACGATGTGTGTCCCTCTCTGCAGGTACGGAGACATGGTTCCTAACACCATCGCCGGGAAGATCTTCGGCTCCATCTGCTCGCTCAGCGGCGTGCTGGTGATCGCTCTGCCCGTCCCCGTCATCGTGTCCAACTTCAGCCGGATCTACCACCAGAACCAGAGGGCGGACAAGATGAGGGCGCAGCAGGTCGGTTACTAAGATGAATTAAAGAATAAATAATTATATGTTATGTTGATGAAGATAATAGTGAAACATGTCACGACGATGTGGTTAAATGTCTTGTTTGTGTCAGTCCAAAGGCCAAAGTATAGACCAGGGGTGTCCAAACTTTTTTCACTGAGGGTCACATACAGAAAAATATATATACGAAGTGCTGGGCCACTCACTAGAGGTATACTGCCTCATAAATTCAGTTATAAAATGCTTTAAGAAACAAACAGCCTCCATCACAGCTCTCCAGAGGGTTTTATTTATTGTGTTAGCAGCTCATCCCTTAAAACAGAAGCTTCAGATTGATTATAATGAGAGGAAATATGAAGGGTGTATTTGAAGGTTGCTATGTACATTTGTTATTGGGCTTTTTTCTTATCAACTTGAACATGTTTTCAACTTTAATGGACTGAATTGATTTGAAAAGTGGTCTTATTAACACATGAATACTGTGTAATATATTTGAACATATATATTTAAGAAGAACAATATAAGACAAGCAGAAGTTTATTATACTTAAGTCATTATACTTTTTGAATTTGCTGAGTGAGGGCCGATTCAAAATAGTCCACGGGCCGTGGTTTAGACACTCCTGGTATATACAGTTCAAGATTCAAGGCTTTTATTGTCATTTGTACATAGCTACAGTGTACAGTAGATATGACAATGAAAAGCTTAGGTCACAGGCTCCTCCAACAGTGCAACACAATAACACAGATATAATAGTGCAAGTAGTACAAATAAAATAGAATATAATAGAAACAGTGCAGAATAGTCTATATGCAGTAATTTGAATATTGATATATATATATAAGTTGTTATGGACGTTCTTTCAAAAGTGCAGGTGTTTAACAGTCTTATGGCCTGTGGGATGAAACTGTCTCTGAGTCTGCTGGTTTTAGACCTGAAACATTACATTACATTACATGTCACTTGTTAGACGCTTTTATCCAAAGCGACTTACATACATTCAGTACTGTGGACAATCCCCACATGAGCAATTTGGGGTGAAGTGTCTTGCCCAGGGACACAACGACATGCTGACTGCAGTGGGACTCAAACTTGCTATCCCCTGATTCAAAGTTCAGCGCACTAAATTCAGCGCACAAATCCCACTGAGCCACAGCCTCCCCTGAAACTGCGGGTTACTCATAATTAAGAATAACTAATGATAAGTTAATAAAGATAACAGTGAAACATGTCAAGAGGATGTTGGTAAAGGTCTTGTTTTTGTCAGTCCAAAGCACAAAGTATATACAGTATATATATATATATATATATATATATATGTGTATGAAAGAAAATGGTCCCTACTTATATACATTTACATATTTTCAGTCAGAGAAACAGTTTGTATTTCCTGCAGAGCCTCGAACTATTCACATGTCTGGATGTACTCTATAAACTCTCATCCAAAAGGAAATGTGATTCACCAGACAAGAGATGAAGTCTGACAGGCTTTAACCTTAATACTCCTGAGTGTGTGTGTGTGTGTGTGTGTGTGTGTGTGTGTGTGTGTGTGTGTGTGTGTGTGTGTGTGTGTGTGTGTGTGTGTGTGTGTGTGTGGTGTGTGTGTGTGTGTGTGTGTGTGTGTGTGTGTGTGTGTGTGTGTGTGTGTGTGTGTGTGTGTGTGTGTGTGTGTGTTAGATGTGCTGACGGTGCTTTTCTTCTCTCTCTGCCCAACAGAAAGTGCGTATGGCTCGGATCCGCATGGCGAAGAGAGGAACAGCCAACGCCTTCCTCCAGTACAAAGAGGACCGAAACATCGGGGTGAGACACACACGCGTGCGCACACACACACACACACACACACACACACACACACACACACACACACACACACACACACACACACACACAGTCAGTCGATAGTTTCTCACTATCGAGCAGGAAGGGTGGATTACGGTCCGGTTACCTCAGACAGTGATGGAGCGAGGTGGAGCGAGGACCAAAGAACAGATAGAAAATGAGAAAGACAGGCACTTTTTTTTATTATATAAAAACCACAATTTAACTACAAAGTGCTTCTAGATCCTTTTACAAAAAACACAATGTATTAGGGCCATAAAACTCATTATAAAAGGACATTTAAATACAATTAAAAATGTCATAAAAGAGCCCAGCAATCAATCATAATCGTTTTTTTAACATTGACATAATTTTTAATATTTTACTCAACTGTATTTTATAATTGACATATTTTTAAATAATAATTGAGATTTTTTTTTAACCTCCCTATGTTTATCAAATGTTGGTTGTTTTTTTCTTTTAAATGAAACATATCCAATTTCGACCCAAAATGTATAAAATCTTTTTAATTCTGATTAAGATTTTTCCCAAAATAGCCGATTTTTACTTCATCCCCAAAATTCTAAAACCAAAACAACAAAAAGAGATTGAAGAAAGATACTTTAAGAGATACTTAAATCCCCTCCCCCCCTGCTTGAAACACTTTCATTGGACTCCTTTGTTTACTTCTGGAACATAGTGACATCACTTGCGCTCCTATTGGCTAGTGCTCTAACACATTGTACGTGATAGGCTAAGGGGCGGGACATCTCTAAGCTGTTGACCAATCACAACACAATCTACACATGGTCCCAACTTTAAAGAAAACCTTCACATTTAAATATATTTCATTAATTATTCATCTCCATTCTTTCGCTATGGGTCGCTCTGATTGAAGCTACTTCCTAGAACTTTGGGATTTTAGCCGTTGAAGACCATTTACATGCACACAAACCTATAAACACACAACAGGAAAGGTACTCTAAAAAGCATAATAGGGCCTCTTTAAAGTCTGCTACTGTTCTCTAGGTGCAGCCTTTTATTTCCTATTCAGTATATAGACTTATCCCACTTACTGCAAAAAGAAAGAATAACCTAAAGGAATATTGAGGATGTTAAAGTGCAGCTGAACTCTGTGAACTTCACTGATCATCATCTCAGTTTCATCACGACTCTGAGACTTTCTGGGTTTCAATGTGTTATCGGTGAAATGACTTTAAGCTGCAGGTATAGAGTGGATAGCTGTCATGAATACACACACACACACACACACACACACACACACACACACACACACACACACACACACACACACACACACACACACACACACACACACACACACACATCCAGACATTGTACTAATCCCTCTCCTGCTCTCTGTAAGAAAAAGAAAATGACTTTTGGATTTAAAGAGTGTGTGATGAGGAAGAGGAAACAGCAGAACAAGAGAGATGTGTAAAATAAGAGGATGAAGGAAAGGAGGGAAGCAATGGTTTGCTATCAGGAGAGAAAGAGGAAGATCAGACTTCCTGTTGGAGTTATCTTAACAAAAGATAGAAGTATCTGCCTTGTTGTTGTACTGAGAGTCTGCTAGACAAGTCAGACCAGATACATCTAAAGAGTGGTGACGAAAATGTCAGAGATTTAAATGAAAGAAAACACATTTAAAGATATGTTGATGGTTAGTTAAGTAGTTTTAGAGGGAAACATCAAAGATTAGTAAAGGTTAAATAAGCATGCATTATTATTTGTCAACTATTTAAAACAAAATATCTATCCTTTGGTTCTTTATCCAATAATGTAGACTTTTCCAATGATGTGTACTAAAATATTGATACATTTGAATGTAGTTAACTAATTTGCATATATTTGTGTTTTTTATTTTGTGTGTGTGTGTGTGTGTGTGTGTGTGTGTGTGTGTGTGTGTGTGTGTGTGTGTGTGTGTGTGTGTGTGTGTGTGTGTGTGTGTGTGTGTGTGTGTGTGTGTGTGTGTGTGTGTAGGACCCTGACGGCTGTGTGAAGAACAGATCAGCGTTCGACCAACAACACAACCACCTGCTGCACTGTCTGGAGAAAACTACGGTGAGGAACAAAAACATGTCAACATGTTCAGCTAAATATTCAGAACAAGAACCAACACTCTGGCACCAAGACTCAGCCCTCGTTTGAATACAGATCTGCAGACAGAGTACTGCCCTGTATTACCATCAGTGCTCGACACTAACGGCGTCTTATGAAAGACAGAAAAAGTCTTTAGGACGCTTTAAACTCACTGTCAACGAGTCGAGGCGATGCAGATTGATTTCCTCCTGATTATTCTACATTATGATCAACACATCTGCGTTAAATCGGCAGAAGGAGAGTTAGTTCTCACTGGTCTCTACTTCACTGAAATGTGTATCCACTACTACATGGTTCTGGTGTCAGGACATAATATGCACAGAGACCTGAAGTTCAGATCTGCTTTCACAGTTTTTGGACAGAAGTCTCACTCAAATTTTAAATGTACGTTTATTCAGGAAATTATTAAACGGTGCAATATTCATATCACTCCGGATGAATACTGTTTTTCTGTGCAATATGAGGATTATTTTTAGTTTGTAGCAATAATATCATCATTATTCATTTACACATCAAAGTCAAAGGCAACTTTATTGTCAATCTTCCAGTCTGTGTGTAGAGACAGAGAGATCGAAATACCGTTTCCCACAATCCCGAATACAAAAATACAAATATATATATAAAAGTATGTATACAAATATGTATATCCTATATATACACAATAAACACACATTTATACACATGTTTACATATTCATTGTTTTTATAAACTGCAATGCAATGTGATAAAGTGACCCCCCCCCCCTCTCTGACAGAACCACGAGTTCACCAACGAGATGAACTACAGCGAGCTGTGCATGACGGAGTCGGTGGGCTTTAAGACGAGTCGCAGCACGTCCCTCTCCAGCCACCAGGGGGCGCAGAACAACTCGTCCGGCTGCTGCCCGCGCCGCGCCCGCCGCCGCGCCGCCATGAGGCTCGCCAACTCCACCGTGTCCGTGAGCCGGGGCAGCGTGCAGGAGCTGGACACGCTGCACCTGAAGACCACCTGCATACCCCCTCAGACGTAAAGACCACCAGCACTGACAAATATTACTAGTTTAAAGGTCACCTATTATGCAAAATCCACTTTTTCATGTCTCTTCAACATCACCATGTGTCCCCTCTTCTTCATGTCTCTTCTACATCAACATGTGTCCCCTCTTCTTCATGTCTCTTCTACATCAACATGTGTCCCCTCTTCTTCATGTCTCTTCTACATCAACATGTGTCCCCTCTTCTTCATGTCTCTTCTACATCAACATGTGTCCCCTCTTCTTCATGTCTCTTCTACATCAACATGTGTCCCCTCTTCTTCATGTCTCTTCTACATCAACATGTGTCCCCTCTTCTTCATGTCTCTTCTACATCAACATGTGTCCCCTCTTCTTCATGTCTCTTCTACATCAACATGTGTCCCCTCTTCTTCATGTCTCTTCTACATCAACATGTGTCCCCTCTTCTTCATGTCTCTTCTATATCAACATGTGTCCCCTCTTCCTCATGTCTCTTCTTCATCAACATGTGTCCCCTCTGTGTAAAGAGACTCTGAAAGTTTCAGGAACAAAGATTCTCTCTCTTTTCGTCCTGATCCATTTATATAAAAACCTGTCTGAAAATGAGCTGATCAGATTTTGGCCACTTTATGATGTCATAACGATGTGTTGTCTTGTGTAACCATTAGCCAATCAGCAACCAAGGTAACCCCCCACCCCACCTTATCACCTGAATCTCCTCCTAGAGCACCATTGTGTTCTTTTTAACCAAATATCTCTCAGAGGGGCGTGGGGAGGGGCTCCTTATTTTCATCTAAAGTAACAGACAGAGAATCAGCACTTTGGAAACAGGGCTGAAACAGAGGGGATTATGGGATGCTGCAATGATCTGTTTGGTGTTTGGAGCCAAACACCAAACGTATTTATCTGAGACCTGTAATATACTGTATTGATGAAAATCGCTTGTGCAGATATGACTGCTGGACTATTGGTGTAATCAGTTTTTTGGCCAAAACAGCCAATTTACCAGCTGTAGAACATGGTGTAGTTTCTTAACCTGTTAAGCCCGAGAGACCCTGGTACCGGGGCACTGCCGCAACATCTTGCAGGAAACAGTGTCTGAGGCAGTGTTAATTTCGTCAACGAAAACTATGACGAAAAATGTTCGTCAACGACCTTTTTTACATGACTAAGACGAGACGATAACGAGCTAAAAATAGATTCTTGATAACGAAAATTTGACGAAATGTATATTTAGTTTTCATTGACGAGACGAGACGGGACTAAGGTGTTAATGGTGGACTATCGGACATTCAAAATGCAGGGTATTTCCCCCCAATTGCCCGTCTTGTCTGTCAAAATGCATCTTACATTTCTAACTTGCAATATCATTATTTCCGCTCTCTTCACTCCAGAAGAGCGATCTCCTCTCTGTGTGCGGGGGCGGGGCCTAACAGACACGCTGCAGCGGCACACAGAGATCTGCCGGGGACGGAGCGTTCAGAGAGTATAGAGACACTCTACAAGTCTCGATGTGGACAAAGCTCGTTTGCCATGTTTTCGCGTTGACACGAGTAGAGTAGTCTGTCCAAACAGCCGGCCAAAAGGCGTCATATTCAGTCGGAGAAATGCACAATTTTCAATTTTCCAATTTTCCAACAGAGCTACTTCCTTAACTCGTAGCTCTGTTGCCCCAATTACGAGTAACGTTATCACATCAGGTGTGCAGAGGTGGGAGAAGTACTCAGATCTTGTAGCTAAGTAAAAAAATACCATAGTGTAGGAAGAGTTCCTCAAGTCAAAGTATGATCATCAAAATATATTTAAAGTAGCGACAGTGAAAGTAGTCATTGTGCAGATTGGTCCATTTCAGAATAATATATATGATATGTTTTATAATGATTGATCATTAAAGTGTTATCAAAGCTGGTAAAGGTGCAGCTAGTTTGAATGACTTTGTATACTGCAGGGTAGCTTGTGAATTTACTCCAGGTGGAACTAAAGTCTGATTTAACACTTGATTAGATTTCACATCATTCATCCAGATCTGTGAAGGAACTAAAGGTATTAAATACATGTAGTGGAGTAGAAGTACAACATTTAACTATGAACTGTAGTGGAGTAGAAGTACACAGTAGCAAAACATTTAAATACTCCAGTAAAGTACAAGTACCTCAACATTTTACTCAAGTACAGTAGCCTACAATATTTAAAAATAATTATATATATTTCATTTATTTCACATTTAAATAAAGCAATTAATTCGGTTAACAATTTGTTAGTTTTTTCCTTTAAAAAAATAACAAAAAGTAAATACAAGAATACCGTTAAAGTACCGGATCGATAAGCAGTATTGATAAGACTAGCAGTACCGTAGAAAACCTTAGCGATACCCATCCCTATATATTACACAAGTAAAGTGTTAAGAGAGTGAAATGTTGCTTTACGAATTTCAACACTTGATGCTGTCACCTTGATTACAATGTCAGAAACCTGTATTTGCCTAACTGAATTGGTTTAAAGAGAGAAAAATGTTTGACTAAAAGTTGACTAAAATGTAATTTTTCGTCGACTAAAACTTGACTAAAACGTTTTGAGTTTTCGTCGACTAAAACTATGAAGGATAGAAATGACTAAAATGTGACTAAAACTAATAACCATTTTCGTCTAAAGACTAAGACTAAGACTAAATCAAAAACAGCTGCCAAAATTAACACTGGTCTGAGGGCATGTTCATTTAATAAACTATGAATGTTTTATATCCATGTAACGGGAAGAAACTCATCTAACTGATCATTTTTTTTTTTTTTTCAAAAGGAAACCCACAATGCTAACACTGAGCCTCTGAATTAGCAACGAGCGAAAAATGTTAACAGATTACTGCACCGAAAATCACTCACAAAACCTTATTATTTATCTCTTCTCCACATCCATGACATCGATTCACATCGTGAGGTGACACAGAATCGATGGGTACCCACATTATCACTGAATTATACGAATTTGCGACGTTATAAACAAAAACGGACATCAAAACAGGTGACGCTAGGTAGCTAAAAATGCTAACATTTTTACCTTGGCTCTGTAGTCTCTCCAAAGTGGTCTTCAATGGCATAAAAACGCTGCTGAAGTTAATCCATAGGTTAATCCAATGTGTCTGTGTCCCTTTGAAATGATTTCTGATAATCCATGAGCAAACAGACGGATAATCCATGCTTTTAGGTTTCTAGATGTCAGAGCTAGACTGTACAGTAGCTTCACTCTAATGCAAAATTACATGCGCAAAGCCCCCACCTTTTCGTTTCACAATGTGTGTGTGTGGGGGCCTCCCCCTTCGATTCTATTGGCTCTAACGGTCAGAAAGAGGTGTCAACCATCAAAATCGACCAATGGGTTCCAGAGATATGAAAAAATAAACATTTCCACCCAAATGACCCCAGAAGTGGTTTCTTTTTGCTAAACCTCTCTAAAAAGGTCAAATGTCACTTGTTTTGCATCAATCTTGATACAGGGTACTTATTATATGTTGTACTTTGGATTCCTAAAGCTTTTAGTCTACTAACCCATCATCCAAGGGTAGTTTTCACTATAAGTAAAAAAGAATTTTTGGACGGACACTATAATTTACAGTTTTTTACTATGTAAAATCTGAATTTTCTTTAAAATAAAAAACATCTATATTGTTCTAACTTTTCTACATGCAACTCACAGGTTTGTCATTACTTTGAGAAAAAAGATTATTAATTTAACCCTTTTAGAAGGGAAGATATGGTCATTTGTTCTGGGAATGTCATTTTCGAGCCTGAGACCTGAAAAACAGGCTCAGGGCTTAACAGGTTAAAGGTCAAGAAAAGCATGAACATTTTGCTGAATCTGGAACATTTTAAGACTAATTTGGGACAGGAACTTGCATCCCTTCACAAATAAACCCCGTTGTATTTTGTGTTCCTCTTCCTCTCCTCAGCCGCTCCAGTCTGAACGCCCAGATGTGCGACATGAAGCTGAACTGCGGGGATCCGGACTTCACGGCCGCCATCATCAGCATCCCCACCCCCCCCGCCAACTCCCCCGACGAGAGCCTCCCCCCCTCGCCCGCCCCCATGCTGGGCATCCTTCGAAACACCCGGGCCACAGCCTACATCCAGGACTCCGTCAAGATCTCCTCCTTATAACCTCCGACCTCCTTCCTCCTCCCTTAGTAACCCACTCTTCCCTACCTCCTATTCCCTAATAACCTCCATCTGAACCCCTGATCCTGAACGCAGGGCACTGAGGCGGAGATTTTGGGGCGAAATACAGATACTTTGGGTTTTCTCTCACTTCCTTTTCCCTTTTTTTGTGGATTAATGGAGAGAAACTTGAGAAAAAGTGGTTGAAAATACAGGAATGACGCAAAACTGGAGCTAGGAAATCAAGTTAAAGGAATCTGTAAAACGACCAATAATGTTTTTTCTGGATCCTTCCCTTATGCAGTTTCCCCCGTCACGCACCCCCCCCCCCCTCCCCTGCACAGTGTGGACCCTTTTAATCTCATTGCCCAAATCTCGCTGGGGTTCAAACGACGGAAAAGATGCCAAGACTCCCAAAGAAAACATTTAGCGTCCCAAAAACATGTGACGTTGGGTCGATTCTGAGTGCCACTGAACGTAACGCTTTAAAAATGGGGAACAAAATGACCCAAAGAAAGACAAGTTGACGTTCTTGGAAACAAATCTGAAGGACTGTCGGAGGATCGTTTAGACTCATCTGTGATTGGAAAAAGACGATCTGTAGACAACCAAACAACCCTCAGCGGCTCCTTTAGCTACAACTACTTTACTTTGGATGTTTTGGGTTGCGGGGAAATACGTGAGAGGAAAAAAAAAGACACGTACAGATCGGTGTTTTGGCTTTATTCCAAGCAGGATGGTTTATTTTCTTTACAACGAAAGACCTTTGAGCCTGACTGCAATGACAACAATGCTCAGTTGGACCTCTTTCGCTTGAAATGTACAGGATGGAGGTTGATAAAAAACCCCATATCTACAAGAAGAGGATGAAACAGGAATCCCAAATCAGTTCAGGAGTAATGGATGATCTGTTCACTGGCTCTGGTTCAGCAGCTGAAGCCCCTTCAGGTCACATTTTAAGGAGAAGTAATGAAACTTTGATCAGAATCCAGTTGGACGACGGGGGAAGGAACTTGAAAATGTGTGGAACCAGACGCTGCTAAAAACGCATGAATATCAAACTGATGTCTGCTGAGCCTTTTCACATCCCTACACTGAGCTGATCTGAACTCTAAGAAGCTGAATCGAGCAAAAACTGAGCAGCGCTGGACTGGGTTTTTTCTAAAAAAGGGACTTAAGATGATGGATGGATTCATCTGGTCTGAGATGGACTCGTCTGGTCTGGCTGTAGCTTCTCACTGACGTCCAGACCGGGGAAGCCTTTTACTTTTTCAAAATATGCAACATTACAACAAGCAGGAAAAATAGCATCAACAAATGAACATAGTAATACCAATAATAATAATGTGTGTGTTATAAAAGAAACTACAGTAATTATTGCAGGGAACGTAAAGTAAAGCAACGTAGACATCCTCTCGTTGTTCCATCTCTTCAGAGAGAACAGGACAAGTTCTCTGCAATACATTAATGCAGCGGGAGAGGAAACAAAACGCCGAAATATCCTCAGCGAAGTCAGCCGGTGACGTGCATTCTGGGTAAAAAAGGGTTGTTTTTAACTTAATCATGAAGGTGGTGGAGATCCATCTGCAGAAGTTGACATCAAAGTCACTTATATATTTATAATGGATGCTCCATCTTGAGCGTCAGCAGTGGAAAGTAACCCCTTAATATGAAGAGCTACGCATGTGAAGTGTGCAAAGACACTAAATGTAATCATATGCACACTAATGCAGAGTTTTGTTTAAACCGGATAACCGGAGCGTTACTTTAGGCGTGCGCCCTCATACCGAAATGCAGATTTCACCCGTAACATGTTAAAGTGATGCCAGAAAACAATATTTCTGTTCGTCAAAAATTGTATAATTACTGTCAAATTGTGTCAAATAGAGCGTCAGACGGCAGAGACAGCTACGGAGAATAATTATGGGATGGATGTCCGGTGGGTCTGCAGCAGGCTGACACTGAAACTGAGATTTCTGAGTTTCTTTTACTGTCCTTTTCTCTGTAGAGGAAGTAGAGAAACCGTAACTCGAGGTGTATTTGATGTTTGAGGTGCAATATATGAGTCAGCGGCTTTAAGACATGAAGACACTTTTATTTTCAGCTTCGCTCTAATGCAGGAGAGTCCAAACTTTATACACTGATGGCCACATACAGAAAAACATGTGTATTTCTGGGCCCCTCACTGGAGGTGAGGTATATTGCCTTATAGGTTCAGTTCTAAGTTAGCAAAATCAATCAAATGTAGGTCTTTTGTTGGAACAGGTTATATCTCGTGCACAGAAAACATCAAGTCAAGTTTATCTATATAGCACATTTAAAACAACCTCAGTGGACCAACGTGCTTTCCAGTTTTAAAAATAAGACAATCAGCAATCAATAAAAGAATAAAGACATCATTGTACACAGGTAAAGATAGATAAAACGAAAATAAATACAATAAACGTTACAACATAAATCAATTAAAACCAAGATAGCTTGCTGAACGCCAGAGAGGAGACATGGGTTTAGTATTAAGTAAAACTACTTTAAAGAGTCCTCTCCTGCTGATGTTCAGGTGTATATCAGTATGTAGTGTCTCTACTTTAAAGAGTCCTCTCCTGCTGATGTTCAGGTGTATATCAGTATGTAGTGTCTCTACTTTAAAGAGTCCTCTCCTGCTGATGTTCAGGTGTATATCAGTATGTAGTGTCTCTACTTTAAAGAGTCCTCTCCTGCTGATGTTCAGGTGTATATCAGTATGTAGTGTCTCTACTTTAAAGAGTCCTCTCCTGCTGATGTTCAGGTGTATATCAGTATGTAGTGTCTCTACTTTAAAGAGTCCTCTCCTGCTGATGTTCAGGTGTATATCAGTATGTAGTGTCTCTACTTTAAAGAGTCCTCTCCTGCTGATGTTCAGGTGTATATCAGTATGTAGTGTCTCTACTTTAAAGAGTCCTCTCCTGCTGATGTTCAGGTGCATATCAGTATGTAGTGTCTCTACTTTAAAGAGTCGTGTTTAAAAAACACACAACCTTTTTCTCCGAATGCACGCCATCGGCCAAACTCCAGCTGCGAGTATTTCAGTGAAGCGTTTTTTTCCCTCGACCGTTCAGAATCGCGCGTGAGTGAGCGACGGGAGAAAAGAAGACGTACATACTGTAACATATTTTGTATCATAAACTTTCACCTGCATCTTCCAATCAAAGTCCTCAAACCAAAAAAAAAGAAAATGACAAAAAACAGTTAGGAAGCCGCGGTGTTGCTGACGGCGTTCTGTGCATGAGTACGGTAGAAGTAGCACTACTGATCATAGGAGTTATCAAGAGAGAAGATAGAAGATAGGAGACACACAACACGATCTCATCATCTGTTATTTTGCATGATGTCGTTTCATTTTCCTCTCCTCTCATTGGTTTGTTTTCCTCTCCCCCGTCCCGTCCCGAATCTTTTCAAGACGAGTGTTTGCACCACGAGAAATAAAAACAGATTATATAAATGAATTTCAAAAATACAAATCATTCAGGCATGTTCCTCGCCAGAATGCAAAGTGTACATGTGTGTGAATGGGCAGGTGCGTGTGTGTGTGTGTGTGTGTGTGTGTGTGCGTGCGTGTATGATGAGCAGTCACAAATATGCATGGATACCGTTATAGGTATTTTATCTGTTTTCTCCTGCAGTTCAAAGACAGTCGACTGAGAGGAGGCCGAGCAGACGTCTGTTCACTGGACGCTCCGTTATTTAACTTTTCTCACTGTTTTTTATTTATAAAAATACGTCTTACATATTCGTGTCTTTATGTTTTAACTTGAATCTGTAGCTATGGCTCTCAGCTGGACTTTACATAGTTTATTCTAGTAATAAATACGAGTAGTTTCTGAAATAATTAGCACCATAAAATGTTCTAATTTGTACGTTTGAATATTTACAAATTGGTTTCTTTATCCCACCTCAAGGTCCGTTCACAAGCTTTCACAGGAGCGTTCAATCACAGAGTCTATGCTAAGAATTGTACTTTGCTAAAATGTGGTTGGGATTGATCGTAAACAGAGAGAACATTTATTCATTTGAACCCTTTAAGATTGTAATTTAGGCTGGAAGTTACATAAACATAAACAAACCCCGACTTAATCAATACATTTAAGACCATCAAATGTTGACTACATTCCCTGTTATTGCTAATTAAAACAATCCACAATGAAACTGCCAAATGAATTCATGCCCCTTTGGTCTTCCATACAAACAGCATGTATTTGGTTTGTAATCCATCACACAGACAGCAGTTTTAGCAGAATAGATTCCACATTTTTGTTATTTTCTACGTCACGAACCAGGGGTTTAAAGTGTTTATTCTAAATTGCTGAATTTAAAGGGAATTAAGTTACTTTTCTTGTCATTTATTTTATCTTTGGTTGACCCTGGATTTGCAAACAATGCTTCATCATGAGAGGAGCAGAATGATTTCAATCTGGTACATTTCAATCTCCATCATGTAGCTCTGACATCGCTGGAAGCATCTGACGGATATTTTAGAACATATATCAGGAGTCGGACCCCCACTACATTACATTACATTACATGACATGTCACTTGTTAGACGCTTTTATCCAAAGCGACTTACATACTCAATACTGTGGGCAATCCCCACAGGAGCAATTTGGGGTGAAGTGTCTCAGGGACACAACGACATGCTGACTGCAGTGGGGTTTGAACCTGTGCCCCCTGATCCGAACACCAACGCACAACCCACTGCGCCACACGCCTCCCTAGGGTCAAAAGCACTCCACGGGGAGGACTTTGTTGATTCTATGGGGTACGAAACATGTTTTTTTAATCAACACTTGGCTTTTATCTCAGGATGTGTCTTCATTCATGTGGAGAAATATTATAAATGCATAAAAGAACATTTACCCCAAAAAGAAAACAGAAGATTTATGGGTTACTCGTACAGTTTATCGGATGTTTTTCACTGTTATGCATTGAATATAAAATGAAATATCCTTTCCACTTTGTCGGGGGTTGTCCCTTTACCCAAGGATTTTTTTTTAAAAAACGGTCTCTTAAGGAAAAAAGTTGATAACCACTGTCTTAAAAAATAGAAAATATCCAGGTATTACGAACTGTCTTAGGAGTCCAGCACCCATAGAACCAGGGTTACATTAGTAACCTACAGATGTGTGTTCTTCTTGCTAAAACAGGATGTAAATAGCTTTTAAACTTTCCAAAAGCTCTTCCACTTTATTCGCATCTGGAGTGGTGTTTATGCAACAGGTCCGTAAAGTTGAATCCCTCTTCTTCAAATCTAGCAAACTTTATTTATCTAACAAAGCACATTGGTCTCGTCTCGTGCAGAGGAGACGGAGAGAGGTGAATACATAACAACATGTGAGTTTTGATGATCTGTTGAGATAATAAGCAGCACTTCAGATGCTTCTATGTTTCATATGTTGTGTCCAGTGACCTGATGTTGGTGTGAAGTCTCAGAGAGCGTGGTGAGCGAATGAATGAAGGAGAAAACAGCATTAAAGCACAGAGGTGTATATTCCATTCCACTAATAAAGACAACAGAAATATGAAACACGGCTGCTTGTTTTCTGGACTGTTACTCATGGATATCACTTAGACAACTGTCTGATTTACACACTGTATATTTTACTCTAATGGGAAGTAACTGAGTACATTTACTCACGTACTTAAGTATAATTTAGAGATACTTGTTCTTTACTTGAGTATTTCAATGTTATGCTACTTTGTACTTGTACTCCACTACATGTATTTAATCCCTTTAGTTCCTTTACAGATCTGGATGAATGATGTGAAATATAATCAAGTGTTAAATCAGACTTTAGTTCCACCTGGAGTAAATCCACAAGCTACCCTGCAGTATACAAAGTCATTCAAACTAGCTGCACCTTTACCAGCTTTGAGAACACTTTCATGATCAATCATTCTAAAACATATCATATATATTATTCTGAAATGGACCAATCTGCACAATGACTACTTTTACTGTCGCTACTTTCACTATATTTTGATGATAATACTTTTCTACTTTTACTTGAGGAACATTTTGAATGCAGGACTTTTACTGTAACAGAGTATTCCTACACTCTGGTACTTCTACTTTACTCAAGGACAAGATCTGAGTACTTCTACTTTTACTACAAGATCTGAGTACTTCTACTTTTAATCAAGTACAAGATCTGAGTACTTCTACTTTTACTCAAGTACAAGATCTGAGTACTTCTACTTTTACTCAAGTACAAGATGTGAGTACTTCTTCTTTTACTCTCAAGTACAAGATCTGAGTACTTCTACTTTTACTCAAGTACAAGATCTGAGTACTTCTACTTTTACTCAAGTACAAGATCTGAGTACTTCTACTTTTACTCAAGTACAAGACCTGAGTACTTCTACTTTTACTCAAGTACAAGATCTGAGTACTTCTACTTTTACTCAAGTACAAGATCTGAGTACTTCTTCTTTTACTCTCAAGTACAAGATCTGAGTACTTCTACTTTTACTCAAGTACAAGATCTGAGTACTTCTACTTTTACTCAAGTACAAGATCTGAGTACTTCTACTTTAACTCAAGTACAAGATCTGAGTACTTCTACTTTTACTCAAGTACAAGATCTGAGTACTTCTACTTTTACTCAAGTACAAGACCTGAGTACTTCTCCCACCTGTGTATTCCTCTTCAGGACAGAAAAGGCACATACAGTGTGGATGTTTGTGATTAAGTGTAGAAACTGATGTAACAGTGACATCTAGTGGTCGAGGTGGGGATTACAAGTACATTTACTCAAGTACTGCACACACACATTTGAGATACTGCTGTTAAATTGTCTTAAATGAAATCCTCTTATTTATTTCGTCTCCATAAAAGTCCTTAAAATCAATTCAAATAATCCAAAATGTATTCAACAAATAAACAATGATGTGTCATTATAGATTGAAATCATTGGGAGTGAAAATATGCAAATACCATCCAGTTTATTATTAAATATTGCGCAAATGACATGATAAATTAGTTTTAGATTATATTTTTAAGCTATTAATCTCGATCTGAATCTTCAAATAACCTTTAAATGTCAAACACATATTTTAGTTACCATATTTTAAATGTAGGAAATGAACTAAAGTACGTAAGTAAGTGTGTCTAATATAGAATATCTTTACTGTCCACCAGAGACTCTCAGTATATTGTAATGCCAATACTTTTAAATAAATTAAATCAATACAAAATTAAATGCAAAGACTTTTACAGAATGTTTCACATGTTGGTTTATCTGCTTTAAATAATTCAGGAGAGCTTCCTCCTGCTGTTGTTCTGCAACAATAGAACAACATCTGCGAGGCTTTCATTCCCGCAATGCATCATGGGAGATGAGGTGGTTCCTCTACCTGTGGTGACTCTTCTCCTCCTTTATCCTCTCTGGCTCTCTCATGTTTCCTCATTTTCTTTACCGGGGTGCATTTCGGGTTTTCTCCCGATGTGGACGCGTTTAATCCGGCTCTGAAACTCGACCCGGTACCAGCACCGGAACCAGGGATACAAACTCACTTTAAAAACACCATCAATCGGTTGTTTTTGGCACATTTTCTCCATTTTTTCTACCTGTTTCTGAGGACAGAAGCACCTGTTGCTCACCTGTTGCTCACCTGAGGAAACACGAGAGGAGCCGAAGAAGGAATATAACTAAAAAACAAATATATAAAGGAGGGACAAACAAACTTTTAGTCAACATGGATTTAATGGATTCAGGACCGAAGTTTAACCCGAGACAGGTGAGTTCTTACCTGTAATATTAACCCGTACGTGACGTCACAGCCCGGACAGGTTAGTCGGTTTCACCCGAGATAAAAAAGTGAAACCGAGCAGAGTTTCTGTGTAGATATGAAATTTGAGATTATTAATAATCTTCATGTGATTTAACATAATCTATAGTGGGGTTTATCACAGACTGTAACGTGTTTCCCAGCAGGCTGCACTTGTTTCAATGGTTTTGTGTGATTAGTAATGGTTTACATACTATCTGTCATGATGGTGTTGGATTACAGTCACAATATGCTTCAGATATAAAATCTAAATCTTTACAAGCTATTAATAATATCAATTATACACATTAACAGTACAGATATTACTACAGTATTTGTTTATGTTGTGTCTGTTGTTTGCACTTGTTTTAATGACTTTGTATGGGTTGTATTGGTCCATAATAATAATAATTTATAATGGATAATACTCAAACATAACATAAGTAGACCACATACGACATAAAGCAATCATTAAATGACTGAATAAAGCAAAATGACAATCGATTATTGTCATTGTTTTTGTGTTTTTCAGTACAGAATACACGGTTTCTATTGTGTCTACTGCATCTGAAACTATTAGTCCATTAATTAAGTAATTCATTGAATTTAAACTACCATTTAACAGTAGAGGATAGTGACTTAGTACTCGAGTATTTCCATTTTCTACTACTGAATACTTCTACTCCACTACATCTCAGAGGGGCATATTGTACTTTTTACCGCACAGATTAATAATACAAAATATATTTAACAAATATATGATGAGCGAATGTTAAAGATTATTTTCTAGAGCAATGGATGGATGGAAAAATGTCCAGATAGATCAGAGACAAAGCTAAAATAAGTCTCCATATTTAAGGCTCAAAAAGACACTGAAAAAGTACTTTAATGATGGTAAAAATGGTTAATTATGCTTCTCTTTATTGACCTATTGTTGCAGCTTTAATGTTTATAAGATGAATCTCACTGTGCACACTAGGTCTAGGTCTATGACGTTAGCCTAGCTTAGCACACAGACTGTAAACGGAGGGAAACTGCTAGCATCTCCAGCTCTGTCTGATAAACATGGTGTGTTGAGCTGCAGTAACAGTTATTAAAAAGAGACATTGTGGTTTATCAGTGTGTGTGTGTCAGTTTGGAGGTGCAGCTGGACGTCACACAGGGTGGCAGGGTGTGTATCGCAGGATTAAACAAGTCAGTCAGTTGCAGAGAAAACATTCCTGACAACACCCTGCTGCACTTTCTCAGAATAAACAGGTTCACACACACACACGCACGCACACACGCACACGCACACACACACTCACACTCACACTCACACGCACACGCACACGCACACACACACACACACACTCACACTCACACACACACACACACACACACTCACACACACTCACACTCACACACGCCTACTAGATACAAAGTCAATATGTTTTAAATAGCCTACTCTATCATTATTTACAGATATGAAGTTATCTTTTGCGATACTAAATCATTATTTGGTAGAGTTTCCCTTTATATTAACTTTACAGGATCTTACTTTCATAGGGGATGTTTTTAATTGTAGGCAAAATTACATAAAAATGCCCTTTTTAAAATACCCTAACCCATTGGTTCGTTCTCCTTCCTTCATTTCGAACATCATCCATGTCATGATTGTGTTCCCGATGGCTGTTTCTTTGCAAGCGTACTAACCTGTAAAGATCTTTGAGATGCTGTGGTTTGAGGCTCACTGCAATAAAGAGATTTAGACAATATGCTCATAGCTTAGTCTGTAACTGAGTAGGGATGCCAGAAACTGACCATGATCAAATTCGAAAATCGGACAGCCCTGGCGAATATTAATCGATTATTCGCCGCCGCGATAACACAGAAGAGAGATGAATAAACCCCCCTCTCTCTTTAATTATATCCTACTTGTAAACTTTGTTAGCTGTAATTTGGCCCTTCATGGTGTTTGTTTGACAGATAGTCCACGTACGTCTACTGTATGTGCAATGCCTCGTTTTAACTTAAGATAATAAGATAAGATTTACGTAAATGTTCTCTGTACACCAACATGTAAGCCTAGGCATTGCAGATAAATAGAAATTCAAAAGTGTGGAAAATAAACAATTATAAAATATAAACATCTCAAAATGGAAAATACAAACAGAACTACAAAATATACAAGTTGACCATGAAGATACACATCTGTAAACTACCTGACAAATTAAACAATATTGAAGGGCTAAATTACAGCTAACAACATTTAAAAGTATGCTAGTATTTACATTTAGTACACACATCCTTTACTCAAGTAGAAGTACAGATACTCGTGTTTAAAAATACTCTGGTAAAAGTAGAAGTACTGACTAAACTACTTTACTCAAGTGAAAGTAAAGAGGGCTTTGAAATGTACTTCAGTAAAAAGTACCCATAACTACCATCTGTTTTAAAGAGTACCTGACCTCCCTTTATATTAATAGAACAATAATGTCATTGTTAGCTAATGAATGTTTCCATGCTGAACAACGGCAACATGACAACGTTTTCATTGGTCCCTCTTCTTTAGAGAAGACCAGGAAATGATGGATACACGGATCGTGTTCAAATCAATAGGCACGCAATGACTTTAAATAATAATGATCACGCCACCAAACACACATTCAAACTAAAGGAACCAGCCTGTTTGGGAAATGTAAGAAGTAGAAAGTACAGGTATTTGTGTTCAACATGTAAGAAGTAGAAAGTACAGGTATTTGTGTTCAACATGTAAGAAGTAGAAAGTACAGGTATTTGGGTTCAACATGTAAGAAGTAGAAAGTACAGGTATTTGTGTTCAACATGTAAGAAGTAGAAAGTACAGGTATTTGTGTTCAACATGTAAGAAGTAGAAAGTACAGGTATTTGTGTTCAACATGTAAGAAGTAGAAACCTTGATTGGTGATTGGCTAATGGTTACACAAGCCAAAAAATCGTTATGACATCATAAAGTGTCCAAAATCTGATCAGCTCATTTTCAGACAGGTTTTTATATAAATGGATCAGGACAAAAAGAGAGAGAATCTTTGTTCCTGAAACTTTCAGAATCTCTTTACACAGAGGGGACACATGTTGATGTAGAAGAGACATGAAGAAGAGGGGACACATGTTGATGTAGAAGAGACATGAAGAAGAGGGGACACATGTTGATGTAGAAGAGACATGAAGAAGAGGGGACACATGTTGATGTAGAAGAGACATGAAGAAGAAGGGACACATGTTGATGTAGAAGAGACATGAAGAAGAGGGGACACATGTTGATGTAGAAGAGACATGAAGAAGAGGGGACACATGTTGATGTAGAGGAGACATGAAGAAGAGGGGACACATGTTGATGTAGAAGAGACATGAAGAAGAGGGGACACATGTTGATGTAGAGGAGACATGAAGAAGAGGGACACATGTTGATGTAGAAGAGACATGAAGAAGAGGGGACACATGTTGATGTAGAGGAGACATGAAGAAGAGGGGACACATGTTGATGTAGAAGAGACATGAAGAAGAGGGGACACATGTTGATGTAGAAGAGACATGAAGAAGAGGGGACACATGTTGATGTAGAAGAGACATGAAGAAGTGCATTTTGTATAATAGGGGACCTTTAAAGATATCCTATCTGATCTCATCTTGCACCCCAGGACACGGACTGGGACGCGGCGCTGCAGTTCCTCCCGGCCACCGACCCCCAGCAGCATCAGAAGAAGCCGGGTCAGAGGAGGCAGATGTGGGTCGGAGTCGGTCTCCTATTGGCTGCTGCTGCTGTCGCTCTCATCACCGGACTGCTGGTGTGGCACTTCCACTGTGAGAACAGCCATCACACACATTTTAGCCTTTGCAGACCATTTACATCAGGGGTGTCCAAACTACGGCCCGGGGGCCAAATGCGGCCCGCGGACCATTTTGAATCGGCCCTCAGCAAATTCAAAAAAGCATAATGACTTAAGTATAATAAACTTCTGCTTGTCTTATATTGTACTTCTTAAATATATATGTTCAAATATATTACACGGTAGTATTCATGTGTTAATAAGACCACTTTTCAAATCAATACAGTCAATTAAAGTTGAAAACATGTTCTAACAAATCTTAGTTAAAAAAAAAAAAGCCCAATAAATCATTTCCGTAACCAGCTTGAAATACACCCTTCATATTTCCTCTTATTATAATCAATCTGAAGCTTCTGTTTTAAGGAATGGGCTTCTAACACAATAAATGAAACCCTCTAGAGAGCTGAGATGTAGGTTGTTTGTTTTCTTAAAGCATTTTCAAGTATCAAGAATAATTTACCTACATTGGATTTTTCCAACTCATAACTGAACTTATGAGGCAATATAACTCACCTCACTTCAGCGGCCCAGCCCTTCGTATATTTTTCTGTATGTGACCCTCAGTGAAAATAAACAATCCAAAATGTAAACGTCTCAAATTGAAATAAAATAGCATTAAAAAAAAAAAAAAAAGTAAAAAATATACATGTAGAAAATATAATCAGGATATTGTATATATACATTAATTGTGCAAGGAATGGATTATTAAATATTAGATTGAATATGAATGTAAAATGTACAGTGTGATTTTGAGTCCAGTTATCAAGAGAAGCTCTTTTTAAGAACAGCACAGATTCTCACAGATTAATACATTCAAAGATAAAATAAAAGATAACATTTAAATTATATACAGTCACTTTAAAATAAGAAATGAATAAAAATGAACATTTATACATATTTGGGTCATATATACATATTAGATATATTTACATGTATGTGTGTCGGTAAAAAGTTATTGTGAAAACAGTGTGTGTTTTATGGCTTTACAACCAGGGGTTAACACACACAAAAGTAACATGTATTGTACATGAAATCTGCTCTGTTTGCACAATAACTTTGACCTGCATACATACATGTAAATATATGTAATAATCCGGACTCAAATATGTAAAGTACTGTATATATGTTCATTTAATTATTTTCTTGTTTTAACAACTTTTAATTGTATCTATAATTGTATTAATCTTGTGGGAATCTGTACTGTACTTTCGCTCTCACTCTGTTGCTGCTTAAACTCCTCAATTTCCCCACGGCGATTAATAAAGATCCATCTTATCTTATCTTATCTTATCTTATAACACACTACAGGAAAGAGAAACCCCCCAAAAGCAGTAAAGGGCCTCTTAAGTGCTGGTGTATCACTTTCTAGAGTGCTTCCGTTCTTTCCAGAATAATATTTGTGTAGTTGCTGTGTGACTTTGACAATATTTTCCTATTCAAACGGGATGATTTGGACATTGAAGGATTGATACCCAGCATCGTGATTAACAGTGTAATTCTCCGTCTCTTCAGTACGCAGAGACGTCCGAGTGCAGAAGGTTTTTATCGGCTCCATGGGGATCGATAACCAGCCGTTTGTTGCCGAGTACGAAGATCCAGAAGACCCCAAATTCACTCACCTGGCCTCTCTGGTCAGGAAGCAGGTGAGACTGAAGATCATCTGCTCAACAACTGTGTTTAAGGGACTACTTTACGCACCATTTTATGATACATATACTTCTATGCCACTACATTTGAAGGCACATTGTGTACTTTATACTTCCTACATGTGGTTATCACTCCTTTGTTAATAAAAACACATGACATGCTTACAGTATTTGATATAAGGCATTACTGCACTACTAATACAGACAAACTACAACATTAAAATTATAAGAACATTTTGAATTAATGTATTTTATAGTAAAGTTCAAGGTTCAAGGTTCTTTATTGTCAATCTGACATAGCTACAGAGTAATTATGTAGTTGAAAATCTTATGTCACAGGCTTCTCCAACAATGCAACATAATAACATAATAACAATAAGAGCAAGAGCAATACAAAAAGAATAATAGTTATAAAATAAAATAAAGTGATGATGTGGAATAGTGCTATACTGTGAAAGAGCCATTCTGCCTACCGAGTATTTTTACTTTTGATACCTGGAGTACACGGATAATACTTTTGCTTAAGTAACATTTTGTATTCAGAACTTAGACTTGTACTGCAGTATTTTAAGATTTCAGAACTTCTTCCATCACAGGATTTTAGTCTTTTTACAGTACTGATACTTTCTGTATTTGTTGATTTAATGATGGGAACACTGGACGGATATGATAATGTATTTATTTATTTTCTGTGCTTTCTGTCTTTCAGCTGAAACTGATTTACTCCAAAGACTCGGTGCTGGCCAAACACTTCAAAGGCGCCTCAGTGCAGGCCTTCAGGTACCGACCACACACACACTGAGATGTTTAGACTTAAGGTGAAGTATTTAATTAAAGAGTAACTGAACACTTATCCACTCTCCTGAGTTAATTATAGGTAGACTGACTGTTGACTTAACTTCCTGACAACAACAAATACGAGCCGTTCCCGTGGAAAGAGAAAAAGAGGAATAAATTACTTTTTTTGCAAAGCTGTTGCTAGGCAAAGGCAGGCAAATATGAACAAAACTAGTTTACAAAATTACTTTTTGTGTCCTTTATCCAAGCAGACGATTTCTTGGGGCCTTTCAAAAATAACAAACCTTTAAAGAATAAGACGGGTATACAATATAGGAATATAAGTTCCTGTGCATTAAAACATTGTTGGTGATTATAAACAGGATAATTGTATTGTATAATACGTTCAGTACTTTTTTTATTTTGCTGATAACACTTGTATTGTACATCTACTTAACCCTTAGATGCATAAGTGGGTCTTTTTTGACCCGGTGAGCTGGTTTTCTTGAAGTATCTTTGTAATTACATTTTTTTATCATTTCATATTCCAGCTATTCCTCAAAAAACATGTTTTGGATATCATGCCATTCACATTTTAAATTTAAATTTTAAACATTTTAAGAAATTGTAGTTTTTGTATTTCTACCCCAAGCTTCCATAAGTGGGTCAAAAATGGCCCGCATGCATTTCCTATGGGATCCTATGGGAACCTTTGATTCTTATCACCTGTTGCTGTCAGGAATACATTCACTGTAGACCACACAGACTACATCATTCCAGTGGCAAGCCGTGACTTTTATACCTAAGCCCTCTGATAATTTTGCAACGATGTCATCACTATCACGGACATGAGCCATCATGAACAAATGTATGCTAATCATAAATCTATCGATTAGATTTATGATTTGAAAATTATAAAAGTAGGGTAGACATGTGGATATGATCCGGCTGAACAAAACATGCATTTATCTAACGGGTTCGTTTTCCACAGACCTTATTTCGAGCTATTTTCCAAAACCCTATGGAGAAATCCCATTGCTTTTGTGTCGAGGGAACTCATGCGCAGCTTACTTCCGTGTTTTAGGACGCGTCACTGCACCACATGCATAAACCTCACAGCGGGCGGAACTTGTCATAAAGTCCGCGAAAATAAAGCCCACCCATTTAGAGGGAGGATATGATTGGTCAATTGTACTGTCAGTTGACATTACTCTCTCATTGAGTTACTATAGCTGGCCCTCTGTGAATGTACAGAGGGACCAACAAGCTCTCCCGTCTTCACAGTAACTCGCAGAGACGGCATTTAACCCTTCACATTCCAACAGAAACTGAACAGGCAGATTTGAAGGATTTATTTATTTGGAAATGTTATTTTAAATACAATTAAATTAAGTTATTTTGGTAAAACTAATTAAAAATATAACTAAAAAGATATTTAAAAAAATATATTTAAAAAAAAAATGTTTGTTTTTTTATGTTTTCAAATATTATTTTTTAGAATATCTTAGGCCCTCACAGAGGGCCTAGAGGGCCCTGACGGCTCGCCACTGCACTAATCAGAAGTGACACCTCTCAGGAAGATTATTTTACACAGCAAGATCTAATACCTGTCAGTATTATTAGTATAATAATAATAATAATACATTATATTTTTATAGGGCTTTTCAAGGACTCAACATCGCTTTACAATATAAGGGAAGGTTAGGGTGGGGGGTATAGGACCAGTGGCGACTGGTCATTAGGGGCAGGTGGGGCACAGCCCCACCTAGTGTCAGCAGAAAGTATTACAAATAATGATTACTAAAAATGCAAAAAATAAATAAAAATATATATAAAATATATTTTAAGATCATGTTTAATCATCTGATTTGTCTGTACATTGCTGTTTTAGTCTGTGTTCTTCTAATTAGTGTCTACAGTGTGTGCCTATTGAGCTTTATATATACAGTCTATGCTATTGAGCTGTTTAGAGCCATGTGGGACAAAACCTGATCATGCCCCTCCCTCTCAATGTCTAAGTGAATGGTGACTGTAAAAACTACACTGCGCATGCTCAGAGTATTTTCCTATTTAATGTGTGTGGCAAAAAAATAATGACCATAGGGGCACTGAGCTGCCATCCCCACCATACGTCATCTCACATAATTCAGAGCTGATTGGCTGTAAGTACGTGTGCCGCGAAAAGTGTGGTGTGTGTGAAGAGGAGACGAGAGAGCTGCAGTGACGCGTCCTAAAACCAGGAAGTAAGCTGCGCATGGCTTCCCTCGACAAAAAAGCAATGAGATTTCTCTATAGGATTTTAGAAAATAGCTCAAAATAAGATCTGTGGGAAACGTACCTGTTAGATAAATGCACATTTTGTTCAGCCGGATAACATCCACATGTCTACCCTACTTATATAATTTTTGAATCATAAATCTATGGATTAGATTTATGATAGACTTTTGAAACTACAAGAAGATAAGGAGGACTTTTACAAAAAAGTACTAGAAATTTTTGTCCAGAAGGATAGGCAAATGGAATTCATCTTCAAGTCAAGGTAAGACCGCAATTTTATTGAAAATGGGATCTTTACTAAGAGAGAACAATTCAATATTTAAATGATAAAATTACATTTTTTGGGTATCCTTTTGTTGAACTGTCTGTTTAAAATTAATCGAAGCATCAGACAAAAAAAGCTTTTGAAAATAATATAATATTTTGGTTTAGGTCAAAATATAATATTTGTAAACCTGAAGAGTCAGTGCCAGTGCCTCACCAGCCATGAACCTCACTGCACGTCACTGCAGAAGCTTATATATAGACATCTACGTTTTTTGTGCCCTACCACTTTTGTACATATAAAGACGCCACTGTATAGGACTATCAAACTTGATCAACCGGCATGGATTGATGGGGGGTGGGCTATGAGTAGACAAGAGGAGAAGAGATGAGTTTTGAAAAGGGACTGGAATACTGTGATGGTCTCAGAATAGCGGAGACCTTTGCATCGATATGTTCAAAATGTTTTTTTTCAAAATGTAAAAAAAATGTCTAAAATTATAAATAGTGAAAAATTCAATATAAAATATTTCTAGTGTGAACCAAAATATAATACTAAATATTATAAAAGTGATATTTCTTAACCAAAAGGACAAAAATGGCATAAAAACACATATTATTCTAATACGGGTCCTTTTTGACCCACTTATGGAAGAGTGTCGGGTCCAGTCACTCGGGCATCTAAGGGTTAAGTAACTATTTTAATTTGGAACTTTTACCTGTAGTGGAGATTAACACCATAGTATTTTCTACATTGAACACATTATGAAATTATAGTTAAATACATAAAAAAACAGCCAAGAGAATACAAATTATGACAATGAAAATTAGGATAAGACGGGTATTAAATACAATAGTATATCTCAGTGCCGGGTCAGATATGAAAAGTTATTTGATGAAATAAAAGGCAGCGGTAAAAAGATCTTTAAGAGTTTTTGCAGGATATGTTTTCTGTTGTAACTCTTCTTGTTGTCTCTGCAGTGAGGGAGACAGCGGCACAGACAGCGTCATGGCGTATTATCAGTCAGAGTTCGATGTTCACGTCAGCCAGCAGGCGGCGCTGGACGAGGCCATCGAGTCTCAGCAGGCGACGGCCTCGCATCATTCAAGACGACACGGACGAATCCTGCTGAAACCTGCCGACGCTCTGAACGTCCGCAACGTCGTGTCCCGAGGTCTGAATCCATCCCAATGCTTATATCGAATATATTATAATTCAAAGTCGACTTTATTATTTATTTATCTAACAGGGACAGTGCACATTAATTAAAATCCAGGTCCATAAGAGTATATAACTTATACATATAAATCACTAATATTAATGTTTGATCTTTCTGTCCACAGCTATAGACCCACGCTTGAACAGGAACTCTTTAAATGGTGAGTTTGGTTGTGTTTATTTTTAATTTCTCATATGAATATCTTTAAAATTCAAGGTTTCAACACTCTCCGTTATTTTGACACCTAAAGCCAAATATTTATTGGCTCTTTTTAGGTTTTATTATTAGTTGCCTTATTGATAATCAATTACATTTATAGTGAAATGTTTACAAAATATGTGTCTAATTTTTATTTTTCTTATGTACTTCTAGTAATTTTATTTTATTTTTTAAAGAAATTGGGTTGTGCTTTTGGTTGTACATGTTGTGTATTAATCAATCAAAATTTGATCAGAAACACATTGAACATAACATTTCCCCTGTTTATTTTCCAGTGAAAAAGTCCTTTAATGTCCACGTCAAAGAGCCCGGTGTGGTTCAGTCTCCGGGGTTTCCGGACTCTTCCTACCCTCCGAACGTGTTCCTGCAGTGGAGGCTCCGGGCCGACCCAAAGCACCGCATCCGGCTGGACTTCCACACCCTGATCCTGGAGGACGACTGCCAGCAGGACTTCATCCAGATCTACGACTCCCTCGCCCCCATCGAGCCGCGCGTCCTCACTGAGTGAGAACCGCATACTTTAACAACTTCTCCAACAAATCATAAACATATTTGTTGATAACAAAATGAAGAGGGGAAGTATGTGTCTCAAAGAGGACATATTCTGCTGATGTTCAGGTGTATATCAGTATGTAGTGTCTCTACTTTAAAGAGTCCTCTCCTGCTGATGTTCAGGTGTATATCAGTATGTAGTGTCTCTACTTTAAAGAGTCCTCTCCTGCTGATGTTCAGGTGTATATCAGTATGTAGTGTCTCTACTTTAAAGAGTCCTTTCCTGCTGATGTTCAGGTGTATATCAGTATGTAGTGTCTCTACTTTAAAGAGTCCTCTCCTGCTGATGATCAGGTGTATATCAGTATGTAGTGTCTCTACTTTAAAGAGTCCTCTCCTGCTGATGTTCAGGTGTATATCAGTATGTAGTGTCTCTACTTTAAAGAGTCCTCTCCTGCTGATGTTCAGGTGTATATCAGTATGTAGTGTCTCTACTTTAAAGAGTCCTCTCCTGCTGATGTTCAGGTGTATATCAGTATGTAGTGTCTCTACTTTAAAGAGTCCTCTCCTGCTGATGTTCAGGTGTATATCAGTATGTAGTGTCTCTACTTTAAAGAGTCCTCTCCTGCTGATGATCAGGTGTATATCAGTATGTAGTGTCTCTACTTTAAAGAGTCCTCTCCTGCTGATGTTCAGGGTGTATATCAGTATGTAGTGTCTCTACTTTAAAGAGTCCTCTCCTGCTGATGTTCAGGTGTATATCAGTATGTAGTGTCTCTACTTTAAAGAGTCCTCTCCTGCTGATGTTCAGGTGTATATCAGTATGTAGTGTCTCTACTTTAAAGAGTCCTCTCCTGCTGATGTTCAGAGTGTATATCAGTATGTAGTGTCTCTACTTTAAAGAGTCCTCTCCTGCTGATGTTCAGGTGTATATCAGTATGTAGTGTCTCTACTTTAAAGAGTCCTCTCCTGCTGATGTTCAGGTGTATATCAGTATGTAGTGTCTCTACTTTAAAGAGTCCTCTCCTGCTGATGTTCAGGTGTATATCAGTATGTAGTGTCTCTACTTTAAAGAGTCCTCTCCTGCTGATGTTCAGCTGTATATCAGTATGTAGTGTCTCTACTTTAAAGAGTCCTCTCCTGCTGATGTTCAGGTGTATATCAGTATGTAGTGTCTCTACTTTAAAGAGTCCTCTCCTGCTGATGTTCAGGTGTATATCAGTATGTAGTGTCTCTACTTTAAAGAGTCCTCTCCTGCTGATGTTCAGGTGTATATCAGTATGTAGTGTCTCTACTTTAAAGAGTCCTCTCCTGCTGATGTCCAGGTGTATATCAGTATGTAGTGTCTCTACTTTAAAGAGTCCTCTCCTGATGATGTCCAGGTGTATATCAGTATGTAGTGTCTCTACTTTAAAGAGTCCTCTCCTGATGATGTTCAGGTGTATATCAGTATGTAGTGTCTCTACTTTAAAGAGTCCTCTCCTGCTGATGGTCAGGTGTATATCAGTATGTAGTGTCTCTACTTTAAAGAGTCCTCTCCTGCTGATGTTCAGGTGTATATCAGTATGTAGTGTCTCTACTGTGACATGTCTCCATGCTTTAATGTTCAAAAAGCTCTTTATTTTTCTCATACTGCCTGTGCTGCAGCACCTCTTTTCACCCTCTGTCTGAAACCAGAGCCCAGTCTGCTCTGATTGGTTAGCTGGCCAGCTCTGATGTGATTCCTTAACTATCTTAATTATCACATTCAATTTGTTGGAGTGCTAGCCAATAGAAAAGCCAGTGTGATTAATCTCCTGGTGTTCTTCAGTACTAACTCCACTCTCTCCTCAGACAGTGTGGATATCCTCACGGCTCTCTCTCCTTCATCTCCTCTGGAAACGTCCTCCTGCTGACGCTGATCACCAGCGAGGAGAAGAACTTCCCTGGATTCAGAGCCAACTACTCCCAGATCCCTCTCACTGAGCAAGGTACGACAGGAAGTACAAACACTGCAGTAATATTGTACATCACTGGTCCACTGAAACACATTATATTCACACATCTAAAAAAAAAAAAATAGACTTCTAATATTGTTTGATTCCTTAATTTGCTCTAAAGATAAATTCCTCCAATAACGTCATTTCTGTAAAACCTTCAGTGATGACATCTCTTACTATAGCCTGAGCAAGCAGTTGATCGACAGAAAAACAACTATTTATATATGGTACATTGATGTATACAATGTGAATACAAGTAATTTTGCAATGCTTCTTTTTGCTGCATGTGTGACACTCTTAATATCTTTTGGGTTTTGAGACACTGTGGAAAGCAGGATGTTTGCATCACTGATGATAATGAATTGTGGCTGTTAACATTCACTAGCAATTTGTCTAATAGTTATTTTTGCATTATGCTTGCACAAAATTACCTGAAAGAATGATTAATTATTACAATTAGATAACATGTTAATTGCCTTAGTTGTTATGGAGTGTTTACTCTTCTTAACACCTGTTAGAAAAATATCCCTCATCACCGGCTTGAGCTTCAATCTCAGGATCCATGTATTTGTGATCCTCTCCAGAATGGAAGGAGTCATCACATACAGAGCATCAACTAGTTCCTGAACAGTGTCCTTCACATGCTGATATCCAAGAGAGGGAGTTACACAGTCACAAGATGGAGGAATAGAAAGCAGTATTCAATGTTTACTTCAGATTAGCTCCACGTCAGAAATGATCATGCTTGTCATATGTCTATCTCCATAGAGGCTGAATCATCATGTTAATCACATAGCTATCATATGCCTAAAACAGTCCTGATGCTCTTCTAGGTAATCATACATCCTGTCATGTACACAGCTACAGTTGGGATACCTTTGTTATCACGTGTACTCTGATATTGGAAGAGTACATTCAGAATTTTCCCAACAACACCTGAGGCAATTTATCTCCATCCATGATCGCTGTATCATCAGAGAGGTATCAGTGTGACCTCAAACTTCTGTGCCGTTAGTCGTGATGTTATAGAAGTTGATTCTCCTCAGTTTAAAGTGGACCTATCATGCTATATTTGAATAATATAGTGTAGGACCATACCTATATAATGCATATTTATACTTTTTTTTTTTCAAAATACCAAACAGATCATGCATTTTAGCCATGCCTCATTTTGCTCAATTTGACATTTTTTAGCTCTGGGAAGGGCAGATTCAGTGAGAACAGCACCATCTACAGGCCTGGCATATGTACTACAGCGTCTCCAGCGCTTTCGAACGGCAATGGCCGTGGCTGTCTCCTCCTGATTGGTGGAGTTGGCCCAATAGCCGTAGCGCCACCGTCCTGACGTCAGGACAGTGTTCAAATCTGGATCAGTTTTTATCAGATCCGTTGCAGCCCCTTTTTTAGAGATTTGGGTATGGAGGAAAATAGAGAGGGTTGTGTTTTCTGACACTTGGTGAGTTCCCTGGAACACCGGGGACACATATTCATTTATAAAAGACGTACAAAAGTGCATTTTGCATGATAGGTCCCCTTTAAGTTTCCTAAATGTCTAACATATCTGTGTTTATTTCAGAGTGTGGAGGAGCACTGACTGCAGAGAGAGGCTCCTTCTCCTCGCCGTTCTTCCCCTCCAACTATCCTCCAAAAACCACGTGTGTGTGGACCATCAAGGTGAGGAACCATTTTAATTGGTTTATTAAGAATTAAAGTCTTGTTATTGTTCCCTACAGGCTCCCATTAACTATATTGTCTCTTTTCAGGCTCCAAAGGAGAAGTTTTTGAAGGTTCAGTTCAACAAGTTCTTCCTGGGGAAATACAGCAGCCAGTGCCAGAATGATTATGTGGACGTCAACGGTCAGAGGTCGGCATTTTGTCTCTTCATATTTCCTCTCTTTCAACACTGGCTCCTAATGAAGGTGTCCAACCTTGAAATTACTTTTAAAAAAACCCACTTCTTTGAGGATTGCAATTATGTGATTTTATTTCCGTTTGATTACATTTGTTCTGTTTTACTCTCTGTTTTGTTTGGTTGCTGTTTTTTATTTAATTTCATTCTCTGTGGGTTTGGAATTCTGTTTGTATTGGTAAGTACTTAATAGCGTCTATATACTGTACAGTACTATGTAAAACAAATGTATTATTGTTGTTTTTATTACCTTATAAGTCAATATACTGTACACCTCTTTAAAGAAGCGAGTGTTTTGAATCTAAATGGTGTTTTTGTGTCTGTTTGGTGTAGATTGTGTGGCAGTAAACCGAAGAGCACCGTGGTCACCAGCCAGAAAAATGAGATGACGATCACATTTAAATCGGACTCGTCTTACATAGACCAGGGTTTCATCGCAGAGTACGAAGCATTTATCCCGAATAACCGTACGACTGATTTAATTTTCATTTTGAAATGCCACTTTGTCATGCTAACCTTCAGTTTTTAGATTGATAATCTTCTTTTTAATGACTTTTTTTCCTCCTGAATGTCGTTGATCAGCGTGTCCGGGGAGGTTTCAGTGCACCAACAATCTCTGCATCAACAGCACGCTGCAGTGCGACGGCTGGAACGACTGCGGAGACGGCAGCGACGAGGACAACTGCAGTGAGTCCAAAACACACTGCCTGACGAGTGTCTTTATTTTCACACAAGATATACAAAAAATGTAACTGGATGGATCGTTTTTTCAGACAGAACATTAATCTCAGATAACTCAAAAACCGGCCATACAAAATCCAACATCCTGCTGCTGTAAATACTGACTACAGCATCAAATGTGGTTTAATAGGCTGCTGGAAATAGTCCTAAAGATATGCACTATTTCCTCCTGTCACCAGCTGTTTAAGAAAGCTTTTATTATGACACTATTGCTGCGTTCGCACGCTCCTCAGATGTTCCCAAGTCCTTCTTCTGACACGTGTTTTCATGATCTTCAGGTCGTAAAGTTGAAACAGCTTGGACTCTACAAAGAGGATGTGTGTTGCTCTTTATTTCTTGAAGTGTTGCTAGCTTGTTCCACTATTGGTTATCCTGCTAAGTTATTAATGTTGTCCCTCTACATTCCCTAAAGCCCCTTAAATGTTGCTTTACCTCAGGTTTGGAGGATTAACGCTAATCAAAAGTCAAAGTCAACTTTATTGTCAATTTCAAAATATGTTTGTACACACAGAAAGATCAAAATACTGTTTCCCACAGTCCCGAGGTATAAAAAAACTCACACATTAAAATACAAGAACACTTTATAATTTACAAAAAAAACACACAAAATAACCGTTTACTTCAAGTACGCAGGATATATATAAAAAAAGATGATGTACATTGCAAATGGAAGTGCAAAATTGTCCATAGCAGCGTAAAAGTGACTGTGACTGGTGCTGGATCTTTAAATAACTTCTTTAACCTATTCACATCCCTCTACAATGTAACACAACTAACGATTTGTACCTACCCTTACCGTATAGTAATATGCAATACCTAAACTATTTTAAGGTCTCCTTGCATCAATCCCACATTTACTTGCGTCCACCATAATATAATGCCAATTTGGTAAGTAGTGCACCAACATTTTTGCTGACTTTCCAAGTTGTTGTTTTTGATTTATTTGAGGGAGCGTTTATGGAACTTTTAACGTCTGAAGTAGTAACCAATGGGCTCCAAGCTGAGAGCCACAAAACAGGAAGTGAGAAAATATTGAAAGACACACTAACACATGACTTGTTTTTCTTTCAGAGTGTGAGGCAGTTCAGATGAAGTGTAAAAACGGCCGCTGCAAACCCAAGTTCTGGGAGTGTGACGGGTTTGACGACTGTGGGGACAGCACTGATGAGGAGAACTGTGGTGGGTTACCTGTAGTATTTTAGATCTTTTAGTGATTTTGACATTTTATTTTAATTATCCAGAACATTTTTTATTGTTTTGTTTATAATATTTATAATTACATTTTTAATTGTTAGTTCTCTTTTCCACTTTTTAAAGTATTTTAAAGGGGGCCTATCATGCAAAATGCACTTTTTTATGTCTTTTATACATAACAATGTGTCCCCGGTGTGTCAGGGAACTCACGCAGCGTCAGAAAATAAAACCCTCTCTCTTTTCCTCCGTACCCAAATCTCTAAAATCGGGGCTACAACGGAGCTGATCCAGATTTGCGTCCGATATGACGTAATATAGGCGGAGGACCCACAGCACTATCAGAAAGTTGCTATCAGAAACAATGCCCGACTGTTTTGGATGTAATATGGTCGGTGTTTACATTAGCATCGCTAACACTCAGAGCTAACCTGTACTGGAGAGCATGTGTGTGAAGAAGCAGGAAATAAAAAGGAACTCACCTTGTGGTATAACCGGCAAGAGAGAAAGCCTTTGAGCTCCATACTGTTTCAGAAATAATCCTTGATCTAATAATCCTTGCGTTTCATCACTGCAGCATTTTAGACAGTATCTGCCAGGTTTTTAAAAAAAAAATTATTTAGCCTTTATTTATACAGGTGAACATCTCATTGAGACACAGGGTCTCATTCTCAAGAGAAACCTGTTTATACCCAGAATCAGCACTTTTGGAACAGGAAGTGAAATAGAGGGATATGAGGCATGGCTAGAATGGGTGATCTGTTTGGTATTTTGAGCAAAACACTTCATAGACATGTTTTTTATATTTTTTTATATATCTGAGACCTATGCTATTGCCTAAAAATAGCATGATAGGTGACCTTTAAGTATTGTATTTTAATGTCTGAACACTTCTTCATCTATCTACTGTATCTATCTATCTATCTATCTAATCTGAATGTTAGAAATTGAGTATCTCACTGTTGGATATGTTTCAATTCCTTTTAGTAAAATGCAAACCAGGAGAGTTTGCCTGCAGAAACAACCGCTGCATCCCGGAGAACTTAAAATGTAACGGAAAGGATGACTGCACAGACGGATCAGATGAGTCCAAGTGTGAGAAATGTGAGACAAACAACACTTTTTACTCAAGTAAATTCTGTTTAGGCTTGTCACCACTCGCTTTCTTAGCTTAGTATAAGCGCTTGGTATTAAACTTTGCATAATCTAGCCTAGCTTGCAGTGTTTACTTTGGTCGGAGTTCTTCTATTCTTATTTTGTCACTTAATCTACTGATAAAAGACCACAGTTGAATTTGAGTCAGCATGCACATTTTTACAGACTTACATGGTGGAAACAGAGCAGCTAATATTGCTAGCAACAAGTTAGCATGCTGTTTGTATTCCATCTCTTTGCCCTGCTCACAAATACTCAAGTTTATGGAACACAGAGATTAAAGGAGACGAAAGAAATAAGCATGACAGCAAAAGGCAGAAAGACTCTGAAAGTTAGATAGAATGAAAGGAAACCATAAAACAGTGTGTTTCTTTCTGTTGTACTGATAGTGTGTGTGTGTCCTGTGTTCAGCTCTGGTGCTGCAGACGTGTTCAGAGTTCACCTTTCGCTGCAGCAATGGACGCTGCATCAGTAAAGTGAACCCAGAGTGTGACGGAAAGACTGACTGTGAGGACGGATCTGACGAGGAAAACTGCCGTATGTTTAATACACACACACACACACACACACACACACACACACACACACACACACACACACACACACACACACACACACACACACATTAGACCATGCACTAAATTAGCTAACTGTTAATGTAGGAGTGGTGCAGGAATGATTCCAAAAACCTAGAAATGAGTTAGCATTTTACAACTTCCAGTTCCCTCGTCGGACAATGGTTACCTGAATTAACCCGGTATCACGGCAAGACGTGAACATGTGACGATTTACCATGCTGGGAGACGTCCCTTGGTGTAAATATAGCCTATCTACCAATTGGATCAAATATAAAAGTCAGCCGAATTATTATTGATACTGCAAGGAGACGTATTGTGTGAAAATAAATGTAAGATGTTGTTTAATTGTTGATATATTTATGATCCACGTCACGTATTCAGTTTTCGGATTTCGCATCGCATAAACACCATATCCCAGCGTGCATTGCGGCTAAACCATCCAATCACCGAGCTGAGGATCTTGCCTACGTCTGTTTCCGGTATTGTTTATGACGGATGTATTTTGTTATACACACAGTCCTTCACATTTACATTTTAATTTACATTCATGTATTTCGTGAGGCCTTCTAAAATGTTTTTAAATATAACTAGGGGTCTAGTTGAAGAGTTTGTAAATTAACATGAACCCAAGCTGTTGCCTGGCAACGCAATCGCACAACGTCACGTCCGTTAATTCCACACACATGGATTAACATCGATTTAATACATTAATGTAGGCTTTGTTTCTGCTAAAAGAGGTGTCGACCAGCTGGGGCAACAAGAAAATCGGCGAAATCGAGTGTGACTATTAAAAAATAAATCATTATTATATTAATATTGACAATAACAACCGACCGTCGTGGTAGAGCATTTGCTTGGCATTTCCGGGTATTTCTCCACTGGTTGGGCCATGTTAACAATACCATGTAACTGTCACGTTTGAAGGGACGAAATCGTGACATCTGCACGTCTCCCAGCATGGTAAATCGTCACATGTTCACGTCTTGCCGTGATACCGGGTTGCCCTGAATGTGTTTTTGGTCGTTGAAATAAGGTCTGTTTTGTTCTACGACATAAAATAGGTCAGTAAATACCCCACTGGTGAATAATAAAATGCCGGTTGCTAACTTAACGTCATCATGGCCAACATTAGCCGCCTTTAGCTTAGTGATGGGGACGTTTAGTCATGTGACCGTGCTGTAGTTCCTTTATAGCCCAACATTAGCCGCCTTTAGCTTAGCGGTGGTGATGTGAAATCATGTGACCGTTCAGTAGTTCCTTTATAGCCCAACATTAGCCGCCTTTAGCTTAGCGGTGGTGATGTGAAATCATGTGACCGTTCAGTAGTTCCTTTATAGCCCAACATTAGCCGCCTTTAGCTTAGCGGTGGTGATGTGAAGTCATGTGACCGTGCAGTAGTTCCTATATAGCCTAACTCTAGCTTTTTACTTCAGAAATCATAAAGTGGTGTTAATATGTGGAGATTATCCTGCTGAACAAAACGTGTAAGTATCATAAACGTTTGTTTGACACAGAGATTATTAACTGCAATAATCCAAAATCAGAGATATTCCATTCGCTTTTTGTGGAGGGAACCAGGAAGATGATAACTTCAGGGTCGACCTACAGTCAAACGTCATCACTGCACCACTTTATGTCTTTTATCTGTGTGTTTTTCAGAGTGTGGGACGAGGCCGTACCGCAGCTCTCGCATCGTGGGGGGCCAGGCGTCCCGGGAGGGGGAGTGGCCCTGGCAGGTCAGCCTCCACATCCCGGGGGTGGGTCACGTCTGCGGGGCGTCGGTGCTGAGCAACCGATGGCTGCTGACCGCCGCACACTGCGTGCAGGACAGCGGAGTCAACAAGTACGAGATACTTGTTCAAGGCATCATTTCTGACGTGTTATGTAATCAGTGGCGTTTTTATATGTACAAAAGTGGTGGGGCACAAAAAACGTAGATGTCTATATATAAGCTTCTGCAGTGACGTGCAGTGAGGTTCATGGCTGGTGAGGCACTGGCACTGACTCTTCAGGTTTACAAATATTATATTTTGACCTAAACCAAAATATTATATTATTTTCAAAAGCTTTTTTTGTCTGATGCTTCAATTCATTTTAAACAGACAGTTCAACAAAAGGATACCCAAAAAATGTAATTTTATCATTTAAATATTGAATTGTTCTCTCTTAGTAAGATCCCATTTTCAATAAAATTGCGGTCTTACCTTGACTTGAAGATGAAGTCCATTTGCCTATCCTTCTGGACAAAAATCTCCATTACTTTTTTGTAAAAGTCCTCCTTATCTTCTTGTAGTTTCAAAAGTCTATCATAAATCTAATCGATAGATTTATAATTCAAAAATTAGACATGTGGATGTTATCCGGCTGATCAAAACGTGCATTTATCTAACAGGTACGTTTCCCACAGATCTTATTTCGAGCTATTTTCTAAAATCCTATGGAGAAATCTCATTGCTTTTTTGTCGAGGGAAGCCATGCGCAGCTTACTTCCTGGTTTTAGGACGCGTCACTGCAGCTCTCTCGTCTCCTCTTCACACCCCACACTTTTCGCGGCACACGTACTTACAGCTCTGAATTATGTGAGATGACGTATGGTGGGGATGGCAGCTCAGTGCCCCTATGGTCATTATTTTTTTGCCACACACATTAAATAGGAAAATACTCTGAGCATGCGCAGTGTAGTTTTTACAGTCACCATTCAGTTAGACAGTGAGAGGGAGGGGCATGATCAGGTTTTGTCCCACATGGCTCTAAACAGCTCAATAGGCACACACTGTATACACTAATTAGAACACAGACTAAAACAGCGATGTACAGACGAATCAGATGATTAAACATGATCTTAAAATATATTTTATATTTTTTTTTATTAATTTTTTGCATTATTTGTAATACTTTCTGCTGACACTAGGTGGGGCTGTGCCCCCCCTAGTGCCTGCCCCTAGTGACCAGTCGCCACTGTATGTAATCAATATTGTACTAACAAAAATGAGTTTATTGACTTGAAAATGATCAAATTGCTTCCACTAAGAAAATCTAACGACTGGAACTCCGACAAGTGAATTTAAAATGAAGGCAGTTCTGATAGAGGTTTTCTGTGACTGTCCAAGTCTGTTCACAGTTTCTGATCCACTAACAAGTCCTTAAACTCTCCAGAGCGCATACCGTGCTCCCGTTAGTGTTTACTTCCTGTCTCTCTGCTTCTGTTAAGTTTATCTGACGTCTAACGCTCCGTCTTTTAACCTCTTTTCCATCTCTCCCTTGATCCTCCTTAGCAACAGTCATTATTATTATTACGCTTAGCAGAGGTGTGTTATCGAGTATTAAAAACCTCTGAAATGTCCAAACTGACCAATCAGAATCCAGTATTCAACCAAGTCGTGTAATAAATATATATAAGACATAAAAAAATGAAAAAATACATAAGTAAAATTGTGCAAAGAATATTTCACGACCTATGTGCAAGTAATGTAGGAGGAGTTCACTACAGTATACACAAGTACAAATAGATAAGATGAGCTAAAGATAGAATGTAAAATAAAATAATGCTTATTGTAATAATAGATACATCTGTGAGATGCAAACCGATGAATGGTATGTAGCTAGATTAGCGGAACATATGTTTGTAATTAGCTTTATGTTTACAAATGTGTGTGTATGTATGTATGTATGTATATGAACAGGGGTATGTAAGTGTGTATGAATATTTGTGAAATCATCCCTGTTTTATTCGAGCCATGACGAAATATGAACTGTGTGATTCATTGCTTTATAATCAGCTTTAATTTAACTCTAAATATAATACTGCTTGGATGTAATTGTTGTCTTTGTTTCTTCTTGTTTTCTTTGTTGTGATTTACCTATGTTATATGTAATCATATGAGTTTATATTCTGAACAAAATGCATCTGTTTAATGAAAATTAGCAGCACTTCGCTCACTTTCATTTTCTGGTATTACAGTCTTCTTGAATTTGTGCAAATGCTTCCTCCATCCGACGTGACCTCTGACCTGTGTTTTGGTGGTGCAGGTACTCTCAGGCGGACCAATGGGATGCCTTGCTGGGTCTGCATGTTCAGAGTCAGACCAACGAGTGGACGGTGAGGAGGAAAGTGAGGCGGATCGTCGCTCACAAGAACTACGACACCTTCACCTACGACAACGACGTGGCTCTGATGGAGCTGGACTCGAACGTCACGCTCAACCAGAATATCTGGCCCATCTGCCTGCCCTCGCCCACGTACGACTTCCCAGCAGGCCAAGAGGCGTGGATCACCGGCTGGGGCGCCACCAGAGAGGGAGGTGAGCAAAATCAGGGTGACGACTATAAAGTGGTGCAGGAATGAGTCCTACAAAATGGAAATGAGTCAGCTTTTTAGCAGTTTTAACCAGAAAGTGGCCATATTACTGTTAAACACCTGAACTAAGAACATCCTGTTGGCAACTCACAAATTATGTATCAATTGTATATAGACTCTTATGGCACTACTTCTATTCTACTTTATTGTATTTGCTTGCACTATTTTATCTGTTTTATTGTGTTGCACTGTTGGAGGAGCCTGGGACCTAAGATTTGAATCGACATAACTACACTGTAGCTATGTACAAATTACAATAAAAGCCTTGAATCTTGAAAATATATTTGTACCCCCAATGGGCTGATTTTATGAATTTTGGGTCGATCTTTTTTTATCCTAAAATCAATTATTCTCAATTTACCTCGAAAAACCACACAAACAATTGTCCAACTCGGCCTAGCAATTTTTTAGCTATTGTCTGCATATGCTAATTATTTAAACCTATGCTAATTTAGCAAATTGCCCAACATATGCAAGTTAGCATCCAGCAGTTTCTATGTTCTGGGGACCCATACTTTACATTTCTATCATAAAACTTGGGGGTACTCAAAATGTCAGGGTTCACAGTGCTGGCTTCCTGTTCCTTAAAACCTAAAGTTTCTACAATGAGTTTTAAGCAGGAAGCAGATCTTCAACAGTAGTCTATCTGATTTACAATCTAAGATTAATTTGGATGTAAGAGTTGACTCATTGATTTGTATTCATCCATTTTAAACCTTAGTTTACGTTTATGTATGTTTCTTACTTTGGTTATCTTGTCCGTCAGGCGGTGTTGCCCGCATCCTCCAGAAGGCGGAGGTCCGGGTCGTCAACAGCACGGTGTGTAAGACTCTGATGGACGACGAGGTCACCGACAGGATGATCTGTGCCGGGGTCCTCAAAGGAGGCGTGGACGCATGTCAGGTAAAAAACACAGAGCAACATGTCTACCTTGTATATAAAGATCATGATTACTAATGCATTCCAATAACCGTATACCAGAAAAATATTTAGTATGCCCTTTTCCATACTATATCAAATATCAGGACGTCCTACTGCATCCAGACGCATTACGAAAGCCAGATTTTCTGACCCAAAATCCTTTGCACATCTGATTATTGTATTAAAATTACTATTAAAATAGTTATTGTACTGATCCAGAAAAATCCAGATATTCTACACAGTGGTTCTCAGCCATTGCCTATTAATGACCCTAAACGTATTTAATTGGGTCAAAATATCATTGGGCAAAATACCTTACCCCAAATTGCTCCCGATGGCCAACAGTGTGTGAATGTGTGTGAATGTTGGTTTCCTTGAGCATGAATGGCTGAATGCTGACGTGTATATGTAAAAGCGCTTTGAGGGGTTGTAAAGACTGGATGAAATGCAGTCCAATTACAATTTACCTCCATTTGAAAAGGTTTTGTTCCAGGGATTTTTATCTTAAAATATGTGGGTTGCTAGATGGAATTAAGATCACAATTCAAAAGTTGTCAACTACAATTGCGGATATAAACATGGAGAGAATCAAAGCTATAAGTTAAGAAAAGTCAGTCTTATGGCTCTTGTAGAAACTGAGTAATTCTTGATGAACTATTCCCCATTTTTCTCTCAGCTGAAGTATTTTACATACTCCGTGTCCGACCCTCCCTGTCTTCCTCTGATTTAAGCCTCTCAGAGGGGATCGTTGTTTCTCTGTCGCGGCTCCCACACTGTGGAATAATCTGCCCATGCACATCAGACAGACCTCCACACTGTCTGTTTTTAAATCACTTCTTAAAACCCACCTTTTCTCCTTAGCGTTTTGACATCTTGTAGATTGTTGCTTTTATTGCTTTTAAATTGTCTATTGTTTTTACTTGTACTTGTTTTATGGTGTGTGTGAGCTGAGCTGTGTGAATTGTGTATGTTTGTTTGTTTATTTGACTGTAAAGCACTTTGGTCTGGAGGTTTTAAAGTGCTTCATAAATAAAGCTGTATTGTATTTGTGATGGAAACTTCTGAAGAAATGGAGACTCAGAGAGACACGGGGAGAGCTGGAACTTTGATGGCAAACACTGCTGGTTTATTTGGAGCTTCGGCCGGAGAATTCACAAGACATGTTCTGAAGATCTCTACCCCAGACCCATGTGTTTAGCTAGTTCTGAGAGAATAATCAACATTGTGCATAACAAGATAAAGCACTATAATAACACCTCTATCAGCTGACGCCAACAGGCAGGAACAGGGAGACAAAACACTGAGAGCAGCCCGGTCACAGGTCTGTGCTCAGCGATGGCAGTACAGACTGATAAACTGGGTCAAAGTAATGGGCCTAGGAAAACATTTCCCCAACAGTGTTGTAATGTAACCCTCCTCTCTGTGTCTCTCAGGGAGACTCCGGGGGTCCGCTGTCCGTCACCGCCGCCAGTGGGCGGGTCTTCCTGGCCGGCGTGGTGAGTTGGGGCGACGGCTGCGCTCGCAGGAACAAACCCGGCGTCTACGCCCGGATCACCAAGTTCAGGCGCTGGATAAAGGAGAACTCAGGAGTGTAGAGGACGGGTAACTCTCAAGGACATCTATACCTGAATGTGACTCAACTCTTTGTATTGGAATACGCAGTAAAAACCTGTGAAACAGACTTTCATTTTAGAGGTTTTTCTAAGTTTACAAATGTTCTTTAAATCAACAAAGCAGTTTGGGGGGAGCTGACCGCACTGCTTCTGCTAAGAAAGAGAAAAACACTTTTCTGCTAAATGTCGTATCGTTCATGTTGGGGAGCAGGGAAATATTCTCATGTATATATTTTTGCTATAAAATACTTAATAAGATTAAATGATGTTTGTTTGGAGATGAAACACTTGAAATGTTTCCCTAAACTCAGCGGTGAAATGTAATATAGTACATTAACTCCAGTACTGTACTTAAGTACACATTTGAGGTACTTCACTTAAAGGGCCCATGTCATGCTTTTCCGGTTATTACCCGTCCCCTTGTGTGTTATGAAGGTTTTTATGCATGTAAACGGTGTGCAGAGTCACAAACCCTCAAAGTACACCCTGTAGCGAGTAAAACTCTTAACACAGAAAATACCTCCCCAAAACGCCTCGTTGGAGATACGTCACTGTCCATTTGATTCTTCCATTTCGTTCCAGGTACGGCATGATGTCAAGCCGTACCCGGAACGAAATGGACCAATCCGTGGAGCCGTTACGTTACGTCCGCGGAGCCGTTACGTTAAGCCCCCGCTGATTGGTCCAAATTGACCAATCCACGGACTTCCTCACACACATCTGTGTGCAGGGAGCAGGCAGCTCTGCTGATTTCTCCTCCCTGGCTGCAGGCTGATAACAGACAGTTGGGATCGCGGCAAAATTCTCTCTGCAGACCCATTCTCACAGCGTTTATCAACCTTTTTCTTACTCAATATCAAGCCACACTTATTGTTTTTACTTCGGATGTGAGTTTGTGTGTGCTCAGGATGAGTTTGGCTGTGTTTCGCTATGTATCGCTAATCAAGGAAACCACACCTCCACGGAGCTCAGCGTGATTCACAACGTCCCGACCAATCAGAGCACACTGTGCTCACAGGGAGGGTGGGGGCTGGAGCTATTGGAGCTACAACGAGCCGTTAAAGGCAGAGAGTGAAATTCAGTGAATACACGTAGTTTACAGAGATGCTGTATGAGAAACCAATGTGAGTTTGGAAAAATGCACAATATAAATCTATTTGAGTAGACCTCAACAATGGAATTATGATCAGTGGAAATGGCCATGACATGGGCCCTTTAAGTATTTCCACTTACTGCTACTTCATACTTCTACTTCACGAGATCTCAGGGGTAAATATGGTACTTTTTAATCCACTACATTTGTCTGACAGCTTTAGTATGTTTTCAGATCACGGTTTTTCTTTCCTACTCCCATTTCTATGTAAAGATTTTGAATGTTTGTTATGAATTGAAGGATGAATTGTACCTTTTATGTGTCGAGGAAACGGGGCTGTTTTCTGAGAAACTCATTAAAGTGTCCTCACCAAAGACATGTGGTTTTCACAGGACAAAGCCATGATGATCTTATAGAACAAATGTGTGTTTTAAATAGAATATATAAAAGTGTCTCAGGTTTAACAGAAATGTTATTAGTAAATTAGGAAGATTTATCAGTCATCCAATCTGTATTTGGAGGATTGTAGATTTGCATCTATGTGTTTCTTTACTTATATTCTCCCAAAATAAGATTTGATTTGTTGCTGTCTTATTGGACAGCCTATTTTATTGAAATAGATAGAAGTAGATTATATTTTACCGTTTTCGTAGACATTGTGATGATTACATATAGCTTTAAATGATTTATCAATAATTAGCATATTATCTGAATAAATAATATATATATATAGCAATATTCTATTTGTCACCATAGTAAAAACACAAATTCAGTCGGCTACGATCCAGCAAACTGTAAACAAGAAGCACTTTGTTGTGTTGTGTGTGTTGTAAAATTAGGTTGTGTGAAATGTTTAGTTTTTTCATTGATAGCATTTCTTTGTTCTTCTCTATGTTTGAGAACCTAAAATGTTAAGTTTTTGTTACATTTCTTGTTTTTTAATGATGTGTTTTGCCCTCTCTGTGGCGACACATTTTCTGCTGAATGTATTTATGTGTACAGAATTTCCTCATTCATCTGTCTCTGAGGTTGGGTTGCAGGGTTATTGAAAACTTCACAGATACGGTAATACAATTCAAAGGATGACACACAGTTGCAGAATGAAATGCTTAATCAAATGTTTTTTTATTCATCTATTCATTTTTCTACGTTACGTTGGAGACTCTTACTGTATGTGATTTATTTTCCGGTTTTTGTGGCATGAGTTGAAGTGAAGATAATCACTAATTATACAATCAGTACACATATAGAAATATTCTTCTTATTTTGATGGGTTTTAAAGGTCACCTATTATGCAAAATCCTATTCATGTCTTTTCTACATCAACATGTGTCCCCTCTGTGGAAAGAGACTCTAAAAGTTTCAGGAAAAAAGATTCTCTCACTTTTTGTCCTGATCCATTTATATAAAAACCTGTCTGAAAATGAGCTGATCAGATTAGGATGTCATAACGATGTTTTGACTTGTTACCATTAGCCAATCACCAACCAAGGTAACATTTAAATATTTGTTTAAAAAAAAATGTAAATAAAATGTCCAAAGAAAGTATTCAGAGTAATTCTTATTACAGTTTTATTATTATTATTATTAAATATATATATATATATATATATATATATATATATATATTTATATATTTATATATTTATATATATATATATATATATATATATTTTTATATATATTTATATATATATATATATATATATTTTATATATATTTATATATATATCATATATAATATATATCCTCTACTATTTTCTCTCTCTTTTATCTATATCTATATACTATATCTCTCTATATATCTCTATATATATATTTTTTCTATCATATATTTTGATCCTTCGATGTCGGCTCTTCCTATCATTGTGAAGCAAATGCAGGGTGAAGAGGACTGCGCACACATCTCTATTTTCACCAATGGGTGGAACGACCAGTCCTGTAGGGACAATGTGCATTGGGTCTGTGAGAAAGAAGCTTAACATTGGTGTCTGTTTGGATACTAAACATGCAATCATGCTTTTACAATTTAGTTGAAATCGAGTTATTTAAATCTATACAAAATGCCTGATTTCATGAATAGGAATGACTGCTCGAATTGATAAATCACATTTATTTTGTGTTTTTGTTTAGGATTAATATCAGTAATAAATAAATAGTCATTTAATTAGTTTTTGCCAACTTTTGTTTGCCTCAATTAAATTAGTATTTGTATTAATCCTTTTCAAATCTTATGTAACGTTCTTATGAACTGGAAAGTCAGAAAGCCCAACTGCTTCAATTTCAATAGATGGCTGGAGGACTTCCTAAACATCTTAAGTATGGAAGAAGCTGCTTTCTCCCTGTTATATTTGGTTAAGCAAGACAACAGGCTTTGGGATAAGATAAGGGCTTTCCTGGACTCAAACCATCTCGGCTGCCAATAATAAATATAATAATATTAATAAATTAATATAAATTAAGAGAAATAAGCCATGCAGAAACAGAAAAATAATTGGAATAATAATGAAAAAAGAGCAATTCAATGGGAAATGTATTTATTTGACTATTTATCTATTTATTTATCTATTATACATTTTGTGTTTTATAATAATAGCGAGGAAACAATTAAGTATATCTATATTATGAAGCAAATATGCATACATAACATGTAACTGACAATGTAATCCCCCCACCCCCCCACCCTTCATGTTATAGTCCTGTGATGTGTGTGAGCCGTGTCCTTGTCCTTATGTTTTTGTCTTTGAAAATGTCTAATAAAATATAAATGTTAAAGGTGGGGTAGGCAAGTTTGAGAAACCGGCTCGAGATACACTTGTTGTTATATTCCATGGAATGCTCTTAACATCTCGATAGCAATGAATATCTTAAGTGCTTTGACAAAAAATCCATATAAAAATGTCATCTGTGGAAGCCGTAATACTGTAAAAAGCACGACCAATCATTTTAGCCGGCCCGGCTTCGTGTGTGTTGGAGGAGGGGCTCTATAAGGAAGTGGCAGATTTTCTCCCGCTGTGTATTTTCAAATTCTAGCGATCTCGAGCCGGTTTCTCAAACTTACCTACCCCACCTTTAAATCCTTTTACATAATAAATAAATTGTCATTTAATTTGTTTTTGCCTACTTTTGTTTGCCTCAATTAAATTAGTATTTGTATTAATCCTTTTACACATCGACATAAAAACAGCTTATTAAAAACATCTGCTGATAAGCCCACAGTTCCTGAAAGTTATAATATTGAAGGTGCCTTATTGAGCAGAATATGATAACAATAAGAAAAACTGTCAAACATTATTGAATAATTCAGACATATACAACAATACTCTAGTCTCAGCATCGGTCTAACTTGTTCAAACATGTAAAATAGCCTGTGTGTTATACAGTATGTTTCCTAACAATGAGCTCTTGTGGCCATGTGAGTACAAATCTGTTGCAGGTATTTAACATTCATAGGTAGCAGCCACTTTGTACATACTGTAAGAACTAGTGCTGTCAATTAATACAAAAATGTATGTAGAAGAAGAATTGGGAGGGATGAAACCCTCTTTAATGGTCACACATGCAGAGCACACAGCACACAGTGAAATGTGTTCTCTGCTTTTAACCCATCCTAGTACCAGGACAGTGTAGCTCACAGAATCAGCCCCGTGCAAAAACAGTGCTGGAGAAGAATAAAAAAAGCTAAATGAGGCATGGCTAAAATGCATGATCTGTTTGGTATTTTGAAAACAGAAACGTATAAATATACCTTATATAGGTATGGCCCTACAATATATCATTTAAATATAGCAGGATAGGTCCACTTTAAGTACATTTCCAAGCCCATACTTCTTTACTTTTACTTGAGTAAAGAAGTTTAGTCAGTACTTCTGCTTTCACCAGAGTATTTTTAAACACGAGTATCTGTACTTCTACTTGAGTAAAGGATGTGTTTACTTTTGCCATCTCTGCCCACACGGCTATGAAAGTAGGGGAGAGATATACCTGGATTCACGCCAGCCATTGCAAAAAAGTTCCATCACCAGAAGGTCCCATTCAGGACACCAGGTAACCCTTTCACGCCTCCGGGTGATCAGTGCCCGTCCTCCTTTGGTTCCTGGCGGTCTTTCAAGGGATCCTGTTCGTGAAGCTGTTTGTGGTGGAAATGTACCGAGACAAACTAACAGATAATAATAAAATGGTGAGGAAACCTTTCCGTTATACTGAAATGAATATTCGTGGAATAAGACGGTCTTTTAGAGAGTTTATTCTTGCAAGAAGGTAAATCATTACAGAGTCAAGCAGTCTGCATCAGAAGGTCTGCAGGGGGTCTTATATCCTCATTTTCACACCAAGAATAGAAGAGGAGGGGCTGAGACATACAGAAAAGATAAACATACTATATATAGGATTCTTTTAAACACATCTGCTAGGAAATGGAGAAACATCATGTCTACACTCCACAAAAATTAAGACCATTAACCTCTAACACCATGTATGACTCATTTAGGACAGTTGCTGCTACCTGTTAGAAATAGCTTGAAAAAGAAGAACAGATTGTGAATTTTAAATGCTCCCTCAGCATGATACAATGTTCCATTACACTCTACACTTCTGATCATAATACATATTGATTACTAAATATAGAAGTTATATATATGTTATCATACAAGGTTCTACCTTCATCAGCATTACAAATTCGCAATGATTCAATGTAATACATCACTGTGTATGATAGAAGAAAAAAACATATGCCATATTGCAGTCACTGGGATATATGAGCAAGCTAATCTGAATGAAATAAAACAAAAGGTATTTAGGCAGATGCATGCGACCACCTTTGTTTCAATGTAATCCCGCTGCATGATTGGTTTAGGTGGGAATGCTAATCCATCGGTTTCTACATCTGTGGGTTTGACTCCTCGTCTCAGTTGGGTTTTCCTAATAAGCAAAGTTTCTTCCGAAGAAATTACTGTTGTTCTTGTTTAAAATACTTCCACATGCACTGAGACGAAAATACTTGCTGTCCTCTTCTTCACTCATGTTGTTGGATCTTGGCTCTGATTGTTGGGGAAATATTTTCCAAGGCCCATAACTTTGACCCAGTTTATCAGTTCATACTGTCCTGACTGAGCACACGCACCTGTAACCCTGGCTGCTGTGCTCTCAGTGTTTTGTCTCCCTGTTCCTGACTGTTGGCGTCAGCTGATAGAGGTGTTATGATTATATCTTGTTATGCACAATGTTGATTATTCTCTCTGAACTAGCTAAATGCATGGGTCTGGGGTAGAGTTCTTCAGAATTGACGTGGCAACTCTACCGTGAAGTCAGAACCTCTGACTCTTTGACTTGTTTTGTGAATTCTCCGGCCGAAGCTCCAAATAAACCCATCAGTGTTTGACATCAAAGCTCCAGCTCTCCCCGTGTCTCCTTTGAGTCGGTGACTCCTCCTGCATTGCTACACAGAATTTTCCCCCACACTGATCTTCTCGCTTCCGATCCTGTAGGGATGAATACAATCCAACAGTTTTAGATCAAGTTAAAATAAGTGTTTGTTCTTTGAGTTAGTCAGCTTCAGAGTCCTGACTGATCTCATGCTTTACATCCCATCATATCTTCTCTGCAAACACTACGACTGACTGCCACTGCTCTCAGCTGCATTACAGGAAGTAACAGTCATTAGTCAAGGAACTAAAAACATCCCATCAAATACAGACTACCTTTTCCACTCTTCTGTAAAATCCTATATGTCTGGTGGAAAGTTGATTACTTACTAAATGTAGCTTTGCATTTTCAACTGGCCTTCTATAGTTTATGGAAGAAGAAAAGAGCCTGCAGTCATTCCACAGTGAAAGAAACACCTCCACCTCCCTGTGTTTAATACAATACTGCTGAACCAGCAGAGACCCCTTACTGACCTGAGAGTCTCCAGTCTGCAGTCTGGACTCTCCAGAAGATCTCTCAGCAGCTTCACATCTGAATCCTGCAGATCGTTGTAACTCAGGTCCAGATCTCTCAGATGGGAGGGGTTGGACTTCAGAGCTGAGACCAGAGCAGAACAGCTGATCTCTGACAACATGCAGCGCTCCAGTCTGAATAAAGAAAACATTATTTAACTTTAGAAAACAATGTTCCTGTCTGAAATAATTCCAGGTTTAATAATCTGTTCAGAGTCAAACAGGGTTTTAATGTCCCTCACTGAAGAACCAGCACCTTACCGTGGTAGAGAGGTTTGTGTGCCCTGATTAACCTGGGGGCTGTGTTGTCTGGAACCTTGTGTTCCTGGTAGGGTCTCCCATGGCAAATTGGTCTCAGACAAGGGGCCAGACTAAGATTGGTTCAAAAGACCTCATGAAAGACGACACACGAAGTGAGGATACCCGGCCCAGAGGAAGCCCGGGGTCCCCTTCTGGAGCCAGGCCCAGAAGGAGGACTCGTCGGCGAGCGTCTGGTGGCCGGGCTTGCCACGGAGCCCGGCAACGTGGGCAACACCTCCGCTTCTCCGTCCCGCGGGCCCACCACCTACGGGAAACAGCGATGGGGTCGGGTGCGCTGCCAGAAGGGTGGCAGTGAAAGCAGAGGGTCGCGACGGACCAGACCCGGGCGACAGAAGCCGGAGCTTGTGCGGGAGGTGGAGCGTTACCAGTTGGATCTGGTTGGGCTCACCTCTACGCACAGCGTCGGCTCTGGAACCTTACTTCTGGATAGGGGTTGGACTCTATTCTTCTCCGGAGTTGCCCAAGGTGTGAGGTGCCGGGCGGGTGTGGGGATACTCACAAGCCCCCAGTTGGGTGCTTCTTTGTTGGAGTTTACCCCAGTGGACGAGAGGGTCGCCTCCCTACGCCTGCGGGTTATGGGGGGGAAAACTCTGACTGTGTGTGCTTATGCACCAAACAGCAGTTCAGAGTATACGGCCTTCTTGGAGACCCTGGAAAGAATCCTGTATGGGGCTCCTGAAGGGGACTCTTTAATCTTGCAGGGAGACTTCAACGCACATGTGGGCAATGATGAAGACACTTGGAGGGGCGTGATTGGGAGGAACGGCCCCCCTGATCTGAACCGGAGTGGTGGTTTGTTACTAGACTTCTGTGCTAGTCATGGATTGGCCATAACAAACACCATGTTCGAACATAAGGATGCTCATAAGTGTACGTGGTACCAGACAGGGGCGGACTGGCCATCGGGACGTTCGGCCAGTGGGCCGGTCGGACGATGTGGGCCGGTCGGGTAAGTCACTAGCACCCGCCCCCCCCCCCCCCCCCGTCGACAATTTCCTCGCGGTATTTACTTGCAGCACCGAGGTGAGCCGCTCGGATAAGTCACTAGCACCCCCCCCCCCCCCCCCCCCGTTAGTAATTTACCGAGGTGGGCCGGTCGAGAGTCCCGGGCTGATTTGTAGTCCCAGTCCGCCCCTGGTACCAGAGCACCCTAGGCCGTATGTTTTAGACACTTGGGTAAAGAGAGGGGCGGAGTTGTCAACTGATCACCATCTGGTGGTGAGTTGGGTCGAGTGGCGGGGGAAGCCTCTGGACAGACCTGGTAAGCCCAAACGTGTAGTTCAGGTGAACTGGGAACGTCTGGAGGAGGCCCAAGTTCAGGAGGCCTTCAACTCACACCTCCGGCGGAGCTTTTCGGGCATTCCTGTGGAGGTTGGGGACATTGAACCATAGTGGGCGGTGTTCAAAGCCTCTATTGCCGAAGCCGCGGCGGGTAGCTGTGGTCTCAAGGTCTTAGGTGCATCAGGGGGCGGTAACCACCGGTGGTCAGGGAAGCCGTCCAACTGAAGAAGGAGGCCTTCAGGGATTTGTTATCCCGGGGGACTCCCGAGGCAGTTGCAAGGTACCGACAGGCCTGAAGGGCAGCAGCCTCAGCCGTGGCCGAGGCAAAGCAGCGGGTGTGGGAGAAGTTCATGGACATGGAAAAGGACTTTCGGGCGGCACCAAAGTTGATCTGGAAAACTGTCCCACACCTCAGGAGGGGGAAGCAGGGAACCATCCAAGCTGTGTACAGTAAGGATGGGACGTTGTTGACCTCAACTGATGGAGTGTTAGGGCGTTGGAAGGAACACTTTGAGGAACTCCTGAACCCGACAACTCCACCCTCTATGGTAGAGGCAGAGCTGGAGTATGACGGGGGATCAACACCAAGCTCCCAGGGGGAGGTCACTGAGGTCGTCAAACAACTCCACAGTGGCAAAGCCCCGGGGGTGGATGAGATCCGCCCAGAAATGCTGAAGGCTCTGGGTGTTGAGGGACTGTCATGGTTGACACGTCTCATCAACGTTGCGTGGAAGTCGGAAACAGTACCGAACTGCGACCTTCAGCACTCACTGGATCGGTTCGCAACCGAGTGTGAAGCGGCTGGGATGAGGATCAGCAACTCCAAATCTGAGGCCATGGTTCTCAGCAGGAAACCGATGGACTGTCCACTCCAAGTAGGGAATGAGTGCTTACCCCAAGTGAAGGAGTTCAAGTATCTCGGGGTCTTGTTCTCGAGTGAGGGAACAATGGAGCGTGAGATGGGCCGGAGAATCGGAGCAGCGGGAGCGGTACTGCAGTCGCTTTACCGCACCATTGTGACGAAAAGAGAGCTGAGCCAGAAGGCAAAGCTCTCTGTCTACTGGGCCATTTTCGTTCCTACCCTCACCTATGGTCATGAAGGATGGGTCATGACTGAAAGAACAAGATCGCGGATACAAGCGGCCGAGATGGGTTTTCTCTGCAGGGTCGCTGGCGTCTCCCTTAGGGATAAGGTGAGAAGTTCAGTCATCCGGGAGGGACTCGGAGTTGAACCGCTCCTCCTTCGTGTCGAAAGGAGCCAGTTGAGGTGGTTCGGGCACCTAGTAAGGATGCCACCTGGGCGCCTCCCTAGGGAAGTATTCCAAGCACGTCACGGGAAGACGTCACGTCTTCGCTGGCCTGGGAGCGCCTTGGGATCCCCCAGTCAGAGCTGGTTGATGTGGCCAGGGAAAGGAAAGTTTGGGGCTCTCTGCTGGAACTGCTACCTCCGCGACCCGACCACGGATAAGCGGGAGAAGATGGATGGATGGATGGATGATGCAGAAACAATCCACTGATAATCTGGAACTTTAACTTTGATCAGATGTTTAACAACTCCTTCATCTCCCTCACAGCTCCTCAGTACTTACAGCATCTCCACTGACTCATGGAGCACAGTGTGAGTCTGTGGAAGCTCAAACACTCCCTCACACATTCACCTTCTCTTTGTTACTCTGATGAATATTCAGTCATTAGCAAAAATGGAAAAAATAAAAATAACATTGTATTTGTTAAAAATTCAGAAATTCATAAATACAAACAGATCTATATGAACTGCAGTCAGTGAACTGACCCGAGAGTCTCCAGTCTGCAGTTTGGACTCTTTAGTCCAGAACTCAGCAACTTCACCCCTGAATCCTTTAGATCGTTGTCACTCAGGTCCAGATCTCTCAGATGGGAGGGGTTGGACTTCAGAGCTGAGATCAGAGCAGAACAGCTGATCTCTGACAACCTGCAGGCCCTCAGTCTGAATAAAGAAAACATGTGAGGATACAAATCTATTTATAGTCTAATCAGATGTGTTACTCAACATTTAAATGAATGGGAACAGAAAAATCTGTCTACTTCAGAAAGTAAGCTTTATCATGTAAAACAAAAATTACTTCCGATTACCTTTATTCAGACGTTATCGTTTACTAAATATTAAATACATACATTTACTTTATACAACTAACATCTATTACAGTTACTTTAAGAAACACTCAACATTTATGTCTGCAGTTCTTACTTCAGTACGTAAAAATGAAATGTGAATAAAAGGACCTTTACAACTTCATGGATGCAAGTTATTAATGAACATTAATGAGGTCCAATTACAAACTGAACATGTGAGATCTCCAGCAGTAACAGAGAGTCAGTGAACTGACCTGAGAGTCTCCAGTCTGCAGTCTGGACTCTCCAGAAAATCTCTCAGCAGCTTCACTCCTGAATCGTTCAGATTGCTGAGACTCAGGTCCAGATGTCTCAGATGGGAGGGGTTGGACTTCAGAGCTGAGACCAGAGCAGAACAGCTGATCTCTGAAAACCTGCAGCTCCTCAGTCTGAATAAAGAAAACATGATGTAACTTTAGAAAACAATGTTCCTGTTTGAAATAACTCCAGGTTTAATAATCTGTTCAGAGTTAAACAGGGTTTTAATGTCAGAAATGATGCAGAAACAATCCACTGATAATCTGGAACTTTAACTTTGATCAGATGTTTAACAACTCCTTCATCTCCCTCACAGCTCATCAGTACTGACAGCATCTCCACTGACTCATGGAGCACAGTGTGAGTCTGTGGAAGCTCAAACACTCTCTCTCACACATTAACCTTCTCTTTGTTATTCTGATGATTATTCAGTCATTAGCAAAAATGGAAAAAAATAAAAATAACATTGTATTTGTTCAAATTCAGAAAATCATAAATACAAACAGATCTATTGCCCCTTTCACACCAACGCGGTTCCCGTTCTAGCTCCGTGCTTGCGCTCTTCTGGTTCGGAACCGTTTTTTCTTTTCAGCCCCCGTTTTGTTCACACTGCCCAGAGCCCGACTGGTGCTGACGCTGCTGCGTCATGACGTCACCGTTTACGTCGCTGATTTTCTCCCCAACGCCCGTCACAACAACAACAATGGGGGACTGCGTTGTGTCGATGATCGTGTTACTTTTAATCATAAAAGCCAGATTAAATTAAATAACTACTTCTCCAACCTTATACTTTTCTCCAGAGTGCCGTGGTTCATTGTTTATTAATGTGTTTCAGCGGCATTTACCGACTGCTGCCGTGCTGCTCATCCACCGGAGTTTATTCTCCCGTTAACTCACAGCAGCGGCCGCTCTAAAGTATTCACTGTCTGACTGTCACACAAGCAGCTGATAAATATCCCCAATTTCCCATAAGTGAATGTGTTTCAGTATGAATTGACGCTGTTTGGCATCGCAACGCTGTTTGGCATCACAACGCTGTAATGAAAGTTTCTCTGGTATGAAATGGGTGATGCTGCATAGCAACCGAAGCTAAACTGACTATCTTGACTACTTGTTGCTATCCTATTGTGGCATAAGCCGTTTTCTACAGGCACATTTTACCGGCGTATTTTTCATTATGATTCTACTTGTGATGGTCGGACATGACAACCTGTGCAACCCATGTATTGATTCCATCCGATAGCTGCTATAATACAAAACAAAACGTCTGCCTGCTCTCCACAATGATCAATAACAGCGAACGGATGGTCAAAGTAAGGTACAAATATACAGAATCATACGAAGCCTGGTTAGTGTTGCCTGACTTTATAAAGTGAGTTTTTTTTATAAGTGTGTGGTTGCGTTCTAGTCACTTTGCTCAGCACTACTGCTTGTTACAACTTGTATTTGCCGTACTCGCCATAAACTGTTAGCTCAGGTTAATCTCGCCCCCCTCCGACGTAAGCGTGACGTATGCAGTTCTTGCTTCTAGACCGACAATTTTTTCGTGCTTGGTAAGAACCGGTGTTCGGGGAAAAAAGCCGGCCCTGCTGCGGTGTGAACAGGAAAAAACGGTGCTTATCAGGCTCAAGCTCCGAACCGGTCCTGGAACCGCAGCGTTGGTGTGAAAGGGGCATATATGAACTGCAGTCAGTGAACTGACCTGAGAGTCTCCAGTCTGCAGTTTGGACTCTTTAGTCCAGAACTCAAAAGCTTCACTCCTGAATCCTGCAGATCGTTGAGACCCAGGTCCAGATCTCTCAGATGGGAGGGGTTGGACTTCAGAGCTGAGATCAGAGCAGAACAGCTGATCTCTGACAAACCGCAGCCCTCCAGTCTGAATAAAGAAAACATGATGAGGATAAAAATCTATTTATAATAAAATCATATGTGTTACTCAACATTGAAATAAATGGGAGCAATAAAAGATGTGTTCTTCAGAATGTAAACTTTATCATGTAAAACTAAAATTACTTCGGTTGACCTTTATTCAGACGTTATCATTTACTAATTATTAATATACATAGATTTACTTTTTACCAGAGGTGGGAGTAAGTCCTACATGTGCAAGTCATGAGCAAGTCTCAAGTCTTGACCTACAAGTATCAAGCAAGTCCCAAGTCACTGTGGTGAGAGTCAAGCAAGTCAAGTCAAGTCATTGCTCAGGTCAAGTCAAGTCAAGTCAAGTCATACGAAATTCTGATGAATAAGCCCAGTTTCCGCATTTAAATCAGTTAAAAGACAGTGGTTATGAAAATGGATTTAACCCACACTATGATCTTCATTACATACACAGTTAATCATTTGAAATCTAATTTAGACCGATGACAATCATATTAGATCAATATTAACCCTAGAACTGCAGACAATATAGCTAGGACTCAATCAAAAAGTCTGTTCAAAAAGGCAGAATTCCGGGTAAGAAAATCGTATATGGCATTTGCCATTACACATATTTAATTTAAATTTCTGTTAACACTAGAACCGCCAACAGCGTCAGCACCTACATAGATATAATTTTCAAATCATTTAATTTGTTCCTCTTCATAATTTCCTTATAAACTAAGTAGGACGATTTAAAACTCAGTTAATTGGGTTAATTTAGAAATAGCTTCAGTTTATCATCATAACAGATCAAAAAGTTCAGATTCATTTTACAATAAATCAAAGAATGATGCACTTCTACAAACAAAAACAACATAATTAAAACATTTAAACAAACTACTAAAAGTAGATGAACTACATTATTCAACAGTTTACAGTAACTTCTGATATTAACACTGAAAATAAACGAGGCATCTCTTTTCCTCTCTCTCTCTCCCCCTCCTGACAGCCCGTCAGTATCGGGGTTAGTACAAATGAATCCCTTGGCGGTTCTAGTGTTCATTTACCGTTTTGTCTTCTCTTTGCAATGCTTAATCGATTTGAAACCAAGTCTAAAGTAGCTTAAACTTAACGTTAGCTTTCTAGCTAACACAACACATTCACGCACCTTTCTCTGTGGGGTTTTTTGTAGTGACGAATGAAGTTGGATGTTGTGGTGGTCGTGTCACTGATCTTTATGCTGCAGACCCTGCATACCGCTGTTCTCTTCTTATTAGCGTCATCGACAACATAATCCTTGAATCCAAACTTCACTATTTTTGGAGTAACGCTAGCCGCTGCCATGTTAACTGACACTCCTGCCGTCTAGTGGGTTGCCAGGTTTGCGCGCACGGCGCTATAATCACCCAATCACGTTTCGAAAAAAAACTAAACGTAATATCTCACTACAAAAACAAACGCAAATATTTAATTTTAAACAGTCAAGTCCTTTCAAGTCATCTGTCTCAAGCTTAAGTCAAGTCTCAAGTCATGAATACCAAGTCAAAGTCAAGTCAAGTCTTTTATCAATGTTAGTCAAGCAAGTCTCAAGTAAAGAAATATGCGACTCGAGTCCGACTCGAGTCAAGTCATGTGACTCGAGTCCCCACCTCTGCTTTTTACAAATAACATCTATTACAGTTACTTTAAGAAACAGTCAGCATGTATGTCTGCAGTTCTTCATTTAGCCGTAAAAATGAAATGTGAATAAAACGACATTTACAACTTTATGGATGCAAGTTATTAATGAATATAAATGAGGTTCAATTACAAAGTGAACATGTGAGATCTCCAGCAGTAACAGAGAGTCAGTGAACTGACCTGAGAGTCTCCAGTCTGCAGTCTGGACTCTCCAGAAGATCTCTCAGCAGCTCCACTCCTGAATCCTGCAGAATGTTCTCACTCAGGTTCAGATCTCTCAGATGGGAAGGGTTGGACTTCAGAGCTGAGATCAGAGCAGAACAGCTGATCTCTGACATCCAGCAGCTCTCCAGTCTGAATAAAGAAAACATGATGAGGATAAAAATCTGTTTATAATCCAATCAAATGTGTTACTCAACATTTAATTGAATGGGAACAGAAACATCTGTCTACTTCAGAAAGTAAACTTTATCATGTAAAACAAAGATTACTTCATATGACCTTTATTCAGACGTTATCGTTTAATAAATATTAAATACATATATTTACTTTTTACAACTAACATCTATTACAGTTACTTTAAGAAACACTCAACATGTATGTCTTCAGTTCTTACTTCAGTACGTAAAAATGAAATATGAATATAAGGACATTTACAACTTTATGGATGTAAGTTATCAATGTACATACATTAGGTTCAATTACAAAGTGAACATGTGAGATCTCCAGCAGTAACAGAGAGTCAGTGAACTGACCTAAGAGTCTCCAGTCTGCAGTTTGGACTCTCCAGAAGATCTCTCAGCAGCTCCACTCCTGAATCCTGCAGAACGCTGATACTCAGGTCCAGATGTCTCAGATGGGAGGGGTTGGACTTCAGAGCTGAGATCAGAGCAGAACAGCTGATCTCTGACAAACTGCAGTCCCACAGTCTGAATAAAGAAACCATGATGTAACTTTAGAAAACAATGTTCCTTTTGAAATAACTCCAGGTTTAATAATCTGATCAGAGTTAAACAGGGTTTTAATGTCAGTGATGATGCAGAAACTATTCCACTGATAATCTGGAACTTTAACTTCGATCAGATGTTGAACAACTCCTTCATCTCCCTCACAGCTCATCAGTACTGACAGCATCTCCACTGACTCATGGAGCACAGTGTGAGTCTGTGGAAGCTCAAACACTCTCCCTCACACATTCACCTTCTCTTTGTTATTCTGATAAATATTCAGTCATTAGCAAAAATGGAAAAAATAATAATAACATTGTATTTGTTCAAATTCAGAAAATCATAAATACAAACAGATCTATATGAACTGCAATCAGTGAACTGACCTGAGAGCCTCCAGTCTGCAGTTTGGACTCTTTAGTCCAGAACTCAGCAGCTTCACTTCTGAATCCTGCAGAAAGTTGTCACTCAGGTCCAGATCTCTCAGGTGGGAGGGGTCAGACTTCAGAGCTGAGGCCACGACTTCATAGTCAGTCTCTAAGAGTCCACAGCCGGTAAGTCTATAATAAAATATATGAAAACATGTGTTAAAAAAAAGAGGAAATATTGTATTGACCTCAAGCATTTGATGAAAAAATATTTGACATGTTCTGATTGATATTTGCTGTTAGGCCATTTCATATAATATATAATAATATATTATTATAGAGTTTAATGTGTTGTCAGTCTGATCTGATCTGGTCTGTGCTCCTGCTGTCAGTGACTGTTACCAAAAGAAAAATAAATTCAACAAATCACTTGACAATATTAGTGATGTACATATTTAAATTTTAATTATTACACAGCTTAGTTGAATACTCAATTCTGATTGGTCAATTCAGAACATGTGACACGTTAATACAGTAGTACAGACCGCTCTCAAGGACTACAATGGCCGTTGCTAAGGAGGACCAAGAAAGAGAAAGGAAAGTAGGTTAAAAGACGGAGCGCTGGATGTCAGATAAAAGAACAGAAGGCAGACAGGAAGTAAACACTAACAGGAACACGGTACGGGCTACAGACAGCACACAGAAACGCAATTAACAAACCAATTAAGTTTCAATATTTTCAACTTCATAGCATCAGCAAAATGTTCCCAGTATATCAGCATTAAGACATAACTGTTATTGGTGGGAAATGATATAGATCTTATTTTAAACTCTAAAACATTGTGATAAAAACGTGTGTGTCTGTTTAATGATAAAGAAACTACTAGAAAGTAATAATAACAGCTTTCTCTGATAACTGTAAGTCCTGCTGTGTGGTGTGATCACATGCTGAGAAACCTCTAAAGTCCTTCATGTGTTTGACATGTCGCCTCCATCACTCAATATGAAGAGAGAAACGGTTCAATTGAACTATTATTATAAATAAATAGAAGAACAGTGTTGGTTTTATTTTGCTCCCAGTATTGAAACAGCAGAAATGTTATAGTGTGTATTTGAATAATTAAACTCCTGATCCACATTAGTTTATAAAGTTAATCACATCTGGACTTACTTGGCCTTCCTGCAGTTCCTCACAGCTGGAATCAGTCTCTGTCGTCCCTCCAGTGATGTGTTGTACTTCTTCAGGTCCAACTCATCCAGAACCTCCTCTGACATCTGCAGTATGTAGGCCAGAGCAGAGCAGTGGATATCAGAGAGTCTCTTCTCTGATCTGTTCTCTGACTTCAGAAACTCTGTGATCTCCTGATGTACTGAGTGGTCCTTCATCTCTGTCAGACAGTGGAAGATGTTGATGCTCCTGTCAGGAGAGATTTTAGAACTGCTCATCTTCTTCAGGTTGTTGATGGCTCTCTGGATGATTTCTGGTCTGTTGTCTGTGCGACCCAGCAGGCCTCCTAAGAGTCTCTGGTTGGACTCCAGAGAGAGGCCGTGGAGAAAGCGGACAAACAGGTCCAGGTGGCCATTTTCACTTCTGAGGGATTTCTCCATGGCTCTCTGCAGGAAGACATCCAGGGATGGGTAATCCTGATCTCTGCTGTTGTTAAAGTCTCCCTGCAGGAAGTCCTCCAGTACCTCTGTGTTCCTGTTGGTGTAACAGTGCAACATGTAGACTGCAGCCAGGAACTCCTGGACGCTCAGATGAACAAAGCAGTAGACTGTTTTCTTGAAGATTACACTCTGTCTTTTGAAGACCTCTGTACAAACTCCTGAGTGCACCAAGGCCTCGGTGACACCAAGACTACAGCGCTGCAGGTCTTCTTGGTAGAACATGATGTCTCCTTTCTCCAGATGTTCAAACGCCAGCCTCCCCAGCTTCAGAAGAAGCTCCCCGTCAGCCTCCGTCAGCTGCTGTGGACTTGTCTCATGTCCCTCTTCATACTTCTGCTTCTTCCTCTTAGTCTGGACCAGCAGGAAGTGTGAGTACATGTCAGTGAGGGTCTGGGGCAGCTCTCCTCTCTGGTCTGTAGTCAACATGTGGTCCAGAACTGCAGCAGTGATCCAGCAGAAGACTGGGATCAGACACATGATGTGGAGGCTCCTGGAGCTCTTGATGTGAGAAACGATTCTGCTGTACAGGTCTTCGTCACTAGATCTCCTTCTGAAGTACTCCTCCTTCTGGGTGTCAGTGAAGCCTCGTACTTCTGTTACCCTGTCCACACACTCAGGAGGGATCTGATTGGCCGCTGCAGGTCTGGAAGTTATCCAGACGCGAGCCGAGGGAAGCAGCTTCCCCCTGATGAGGTTTGTCAGCAGCACGTTGACTGAGGACTGCTGTGAGACATCAGACACAACCTTCTTGTTTCTGAAATCCAGAGAAAGTCTGCTTTCATTCAGGCCGTCAAAGATGAACAGCACTTTACAGACAGCCAGCTGCTCTGCTGTGACCTTCTGTAAGGTTGGATGGAAAACATGGAGCAGCCTGAGAAGACTGTAATGCTCATCTTTGATCAGGTTCAGCTCCCTGAAGGAAAGCGGGATCACCATACTGACATCTTGGTTTTCCAAACCCTCGGCCCAGTCCAGAGTGAACTTCTGCACTGAGAAAGTTTTTCCAACTCCAGCGACTCCGTTGGTCAGGACCGCTCTGATGAGAGTCTGTTGGTCAGGTAAGGCTTTAAAGATGTCCTGGCACTTGATTGGAGTGTCATGGAGGGGCTTTTTCTTGGAAGCTGTCTCCAGCTGCCTCACCTCATGTTGGGTATTAACCTCTTCACTCTGTCTTTGTGTGATGTAGAGCTCAGTGAAGATCCTGTTGAGGAGGGTTTCACTTTGATCAGTTCCTTCATTCACACGTTGACATCTCCTCCTCAGACTGATCCTATGTTCATCTAAAAACTCTTGCAGACCACTATCTGCTGAAAGAGAAGGAAACGTTTGAGAATGAGGAAAATGCTCTGAGAATCTAATTATAACAATAAAACAACAAAAAACAGACTGAGTTTAAATGTTTGGTAACACTTTATATTAAGATACACAAATGAACCATCAACTAGTTATCATGCATATTAGCAGTATATTGGCTCTTTATTAGTCATTATAAAACACTTATTAACCTGTTAAGCCCGAGAGACTGCCACAACATCTTGCAGGAAACAGTGTCTGAGGGCATGTTCATTTAATAAAACTATGAATGTTTTATATCCATGTAACGGAAAGAAACTCATCTAACTGATCTTTTCTTTTTTTTTTCAAAAGAAAACCAACAATGCCAACACTGAGCCTCTGAATTAGCAACGAGCGAAAAATGCTAACACCTTACTGCGCCGAAAATCACTCACAACACCTTATTATTTATCTTTTCACCACATCCAACACATCGATTCACATCGTGAGGTGACACAGAATCGTTTGACACCGACATTACCACTGAATTATACGTATTTGCGACGTTATAAGCAAAAACGGACATCAAAACAGGTGACGCTAGGTAGCTAAAAATGCTAACTTTACCTTGGCTCTGTAGTCTCTCCAAAGTGGTCTTCAATGGCATTAAAACGATAAAAACGCTGCTGAAGTTAATCCATAGGTTAATCTAATGTGTCTGTGTCCCTTTGAAATGATTTCTGATAATCCATAAACATAACCTTTTCTCTTCACAACGTGTGTGTGTGGGGGACTCCCCCTTCAATTCTATTGGCTCTAACGGTCAGAAAGAGGTGTCAACCATCAAAATCGAGCAAGGGGGGCCAGAGATGACCCCAGAAGTGGTTTCTTTTTGCTAAATCTCTCTAAAAAAGGTCAAATGTCACTTGTTTTGCATCAATCTTGATACAGGGTACTTATTATATGTTGTACTTTGGATTCCTAAAGCTTTTAGTCTACTAACCCATCATCCAAGGGTGGTTTTCACTATAAGTAAAAAAAAAATTTGGACGGACACTATAATTTACAGTTTTTTACTATGTAAAATCTGAATTTTCTTTAAAATAAAAAACATCTATATTGATTCTGACTTTTCTACATCCAACTCACAGGTTTATCATTACTTTGAGAAAAAAGATTATTAATTTAACCCTTTTAGAAGGGAAGATATGGTCATTTGTTCTGGGAATGTCATTTTCGAGCCTGAGAACTGAAAAACAGGCTCAGGGCTTAACAGGTTAATGCCTTATTCTACATGACCATATTCTACAAGTAATAAGCCATTAGTTGAGAGTTTTTCCTCAATAACCCTCTAATTAGTGCTTATTTATTGCAAGTATGGAAGTTGTTGTACATGAATTTTGGTCTTAATATGCTCTGCTCAATATGGGCCTAATAAGGCAGTAGTACCACAAGAATAGTAATTCTCCCATAATAACACTAAAATGATCTATTCTTACGTAACAAGACATGACACTATAAGTGTTAATTGTGTCTAAATAACTCAAAATTAGGTATTTATATCTAAGAATATGTTTTGGGGTATTGACCGTTCAGCTACCAATAGCAAGGTGATATTGACCTGTAGGTTTCATATTTGCACATTTATACTTTTGCATACATGCCAACCTTTCCAAACCCAAAAGAGGTAGGTTTGCACGTGGCAAATGTGCACGCCCAAATTAGGTAATCAGAGGAAATGGAACCACAGTAATTACAGGTATAAACCATGTATTTAATATATTGCATCACTTTTTGCATTTTTCACAAAAATTGGTCATACAATGTTCAGTCACTTTAGTGCTTGGTATGTAGCAGACTTGGCTTTCTTGAGAAGTTCAGGGTCTGGTTTCCAGTTGCAGCAGGTGCATTTTTTGAAGATGTTTATCTTCCCTGCCAACAGACCTTTGTGTGCTTCTCTCTTCTCCGCGATACCTTGATAAACTCGTGATCTGCTGTCCACTTGGCTTTAAACACATTGTCCCACCGCTTGGTGGGCTTCTTCTTCTCGGGGGTTCTATTCATCGCGGAATTTCCATATCAAAACCTGTAGCTGTGTGTATTGTTGAACATCTCTGATGTGAATAAACAACACTGGGGCGCCAAGACCGAACACTAATCACGTGATGAGCAAATCCAATTTCATTGGATAGGAGTCAAAGTCGAGTCTATGGTGCGCCAAGGGGCATTTTTATTTTTTATAATTTGGGAAGATTGAAATCGGTAGGGAAAGCCAGCTAAATCGGTAGGCGGTAGAAACATGTCAAAAGCGGTAGACTACCGCCCAAATCAGTAGGGTTGGTAGGTATGCTCCTAAGGCGTGTGGCGCAGTGGATAGAGCCTTGGTATGGGGATCAGATGGTCACAGGTTCAAACCCCACTGCAGTCAGCATGTCGTTGTGTCCCTGGGCAAGACACTTCACCCCAAATTGCTCCTGTGGGGATTGCCCACAGTATTGAGTATGTAAGTCGCTTTGGATAAAAGCGTCTAACAAGTAACATGTAATGTAATGTATGCTTTTGTGAAATTTGTACTTAAGGTTAGACAGGAAACCGGGTACAGGAAGAAGGAGAAAGTGAACTGAATAGCATGGCAGTAGACTGCTACTAATTTTCACTATGCAACCTGAAGAGTAAAAGGGTCAAGTCCGTCAGAAAGCAATGACTGTAATGGCGCATTTCCACCATGGCGCGGAGCGCGGTTTAAGCGTGCCGTGTCGTGCCGTGCCCGTTTTTGTTTGCGCTTCCACTAGGCCTAGTGACGGCCCGGCCCGGCCCGGGGCCACTTTTTCACCTCACTTACAAAATTGTGGTTCTATCGGGGCCAACAAACAGGGCTGAGTCGGGCTGAGTATGCTAAACTAGAGAGAGAATCGCTGGCAAGGAGGCTACAACTACAACAAGTTGAACATATTTGACCGTGATTTCAAAATAATGCCGAAGTAACAACATACTGATACCGGTTAGTAAAAACCATGAATTAATGCTTTGGCAAGTTTGCAGACAGACGGCAGGTGAAAAACCTTTTAAAATGCGTGTTTTCTGGATGGAGATTGGCTAAGCTAACGTTGTATATGCTCCGACCGTCCACACTCACAACAACGGCCTATACAGACATAAATAAAGCAGCGACTGTACTCGCCATGACACAGGCAGTCTGTGGTGTGTACTTGTTTAACTTTTGTCGAGTTTCTGAACATATATAAGGAGCTGTGAGCTCTGAGTGCTAACAGCTAATGGCTGTGTTGTTTTTCTGGGGTTCTCATTGAAGATGACGTCACGGCTCCGCCTACACTGCGTTACTATAGTAACTACCCCAGTTCCTAAACTGTAATGGAAGCGCAGCATGAAGTGAGCCGGCCCTGTTAAGGCCCAACGCGGCCAAGCAGTACCGAGCGTGACCGAGGCCGACCGTGTGGTGGAAATGTGCCATAAGTGTAAGTGTAAGCCTTACACTTACACTGTAAGGATTAGTAACATGTATTGTGTTTATGGGATGACATTTGGAGATGTTTAAACACAATGGGAAAATGCGTTAGCATTCGCGCTAGCGTT